GAACGAAAAAATTTCCTCTTCTTTTTCGTTTTACTATTTTTTTTCAGACCCATAGTCGTCGTTTTGATAGCAGTTCAGGTCATAGTGCTTGTCTGTCGGTGCTGTTTGATAAAGCGACGCCAGGCGGTGTACGAAAGAATAACAGGTACAACAGTTCCGGTGGGAGCCAGTCCGGGGGAGAGACCTGCTCTGCAGTACGTCCGAGTCCCCGGCACTGCCTACCAGTACGCGCCGGTAAGTATTCAAGTAACAATCTTAATGAAATTTGAATAGCTATATATAGGTTTTAGTATTCGTCATGCTTAGCTTTACGGTGCCTACAACGTCAACTTACGTATGAAATGTTCTAAAGATGTGCACATACGATGTTACACATTTATTTGTTTCTTTGAAAATAACTATGTAATGTAAATGTATATGTAATTGTATGTGATGTATTGTTATGTCTTATGTACCCTCTCCTGGAAGAATAGCTGCCACCGTTGGGTGGGCAGCTAAAGGAGAGTTTTTTCCCCAATAAACCTCAATATTTCTTTATTTATTGTTTATTGTTTTCCACTTTTATGATATAGGTGCCTACAGCTCCCCCATACAGTGCAGCAATACCAAAAGAAGAGGAGCCCCCGCCACCATATGAACCCTAAACGACTGCTGAGTGGAACGATTAGCAAGAACTCGACAGACTTTTCTATTGTTACGGCTGGCCCCGATAACGTGCTTAAAATGTATACGTACACTTAATCCCCAAATAGAGAATCACTTCATTCAATAGTTGATAATGATCAACAAATAATTAGGGAGGGGAGTGTAATCGGGGAATTGAGAATACTGGTTATAGCCTTTTGTATGTTAAAAAAAAAACGTTTTGTAAGTGACGAAATAAGTTAGACAAGGTTGGCTACTATTTGCCAAACAGGTGTCAGCAAATCTGCAATATCCCTCAATAGACTGATTCCACCGTCCAGTTTATATTCAGACTGTTAACAGTTAACCGTTTATGACTGATCCGCATCAGCAGTCGGAGACGGGGTATGTGGAGAGTCTGAGTCGCCCCCCGCCGCGCCGCCGTTTGACACAGGCTGGATACTGTGGACAAATGTGGAACATACAATATGAGAACAAACCAACAGTGACAGGATTGTCTATGCATTGTATGTAACTATATTGTGCCAAGTACATGTATACATTTGTATTAATTACATTTGTGGCGTTTATATTTCCGGGTACGGAATGCATCTATAGCAGCTACACCTGTGCTGCAGTGCAATGTGAACCAGTCAGAATTTCCCTGAAGAAGGTGACAGACGGTCACCGAAACGTCGGTTGACTAAAAGTCTTGGTTGTGTAGAACGGGTCTCTTTACTCAGTCTACGGAAGTATTGTTTTGGGTACCTGAGCTGTGGGTTCGTGTGTCTGATTTGATAAACACATCGTTGTCTAGTTGACCTCACCTGTAAAACAGCTGAAATCCCTTCTCTTCTTTGTTTGCGTCGCTGACAAAATGTAGAGTGACGTCAGAATACGATGTGATTTCCGGTGGAAAATCGTCCCCACAATGGCGCCCTGTTTTGACACAAAAGACGCATATTATGTATGATGTAATATAGTTAGCGTTACGGGAATACACAGTACAAACGGTCTCAGAAACGTCTATTATCTAGAAGCCATATATATGAGGTAACATCAAAAGCTACCAGAAAGACTTCCAGGGTTATATTGGTTAATATATCATGAATGTTTTGGAACTGTACTGTATTATCAAAGAGAAATGCTCTATCGGATGACATCGCAATGGATTACTACTCATACGATTGTATGACGTAACTTCCAACGATTGCAACATATCAGTCAAATTTCTCGAAGTCCCACATGGCTCCAAACAACATCATATGTGACACCCCAAGGTCACACGGAGTTCACGACCCTATCCCTCCAATGAAACACATGTCCCAAAGCGGACTCGACACAAACAAACGTGACCGAAAACAATACTTCCGTCCTGGAAGTCTTAAATTGTCTGAGATGATATATTACGTACTTGGTGCCTCGTCACCGATTGCGATCTCCAGGTAGTCGTATTGACAGGAATTCCCTTTCTCCAGAACGAAATCCAGAAACCTGGCGATGATCTGTCCTCCCTGTGCCGGGATGGTCCACGTGCAGGTCTGGGAACTGGGGTAGTTCAACGGATAGCTGGGGAAGATAAAGGGACAGGTGATGGATGATGACAATGGTTGGTATATAATATTGTCCTTGGTATACATACGTACGTATACGAGAGATCGCTGTTTTTTTCACATCGTATATGTGAAAATCATTTGAAGACACGTGACGTCATGGCGATCGCTCGTATTCACAGTGCCTCTATTCTCATGATGTTTTATGATATGGCAAATAGTACCTAATTCAGCTTATATCTTATAGCTGTTATGTACTATTTTTAATACGCTATTCATTCACATGCATCTAATGAATTTTAAACGCAAACGTGTGACCTCCTAGCGGCCAATGAACAAAAGGGTCCTATAGAACGTTGGAAAAAAGTATGACACTCAGAACAATGACACTGTATATGCATGCATTCTGTCTCTATTACAAAGTAGCGCCTGGTCATTTTTGTCCATTGATCATGGTGCTTTCATTACATTTTTGTAACGTCAATGGGCTAAAATCTAAAGCAGTGGAAGAACAGGTACCGTGGAGTAGTTATCTCTCCGAATGTGCCGTCCATGACTCCGCCGCAAGGTGGCGCCACGCCGTCGAGGGTCCACTGCAGGCTGAATCCCCGCCGTGAGATGCTGGGGTCCGACACCAGGCGCACCCGCGCCGTCCTCCGCTCAAACGTGAACGTGCCCGGGTTGTCCTCGCCACACCATCTCCCTAGGGATGAAATTTTGAAAACATGAACCAGAATACAATTGATGTTGTCGGGGAAGATCCCGGACAGGCCATAACGGCTTTTTATATTGCCTGCATATCTTGATGTTTATTTCATTACTTGGATTATATTATAAACTAGAGTTCCACGATCTCATACCTTCGCCAAATGATGTTAGCCTTTATGAATAAAAAATATACTAATCACCCTGATTATGCAAATAGGATCCTCAATTGCATGTCTGTTGATCATATTCTCCACCAGAAGACAGTTTTATCTTAACAAAGAATGCCATTTTCTCATAAATTATGCAAATGTGGTCCTTATTTGAATAAGTTATGTTTAATTATGTTCACCTTCACTTAACTTTCAAACACCCCAAGTATGAAATTCCAGGCAGTTACCACTACGCAATTATAACATTTTCTCATTAATTATGCAAATTAAGTCTTCATTTGCATAATCAATATTTGCCTGTGTTTATCTCGTTCTTAATAACATATGTTACAAGCTTGAACTTCCTATCATGGAATGCAGCAGATTTATAGAATTTCCTCATTAATTATGCAAATTACATCAATATTCGCATAATTGTAATATCATTATGTCAAGCATCACTTGAGCTACCTACATACCAAAAATCACGATGATCCATCAATCGGTTCTTGAGTTATCCTCCTTTAAACATTTGTCCTTTAAACCCCCCTGCAGTTCTAGAGCAAGCCGCTAGGGGGCCTAAACTCACGTCACTTCTTCCCTAGCACAAGAGCTACGTACCATCTAAATTTCATCACCATAGCATGTCTGGATCTTGAGATATCAAAATCGGAAGTTCAGCTGCAGTACCATAACAAGCCGCTAGGGGGTCCAAAATCTAATCATTTTGAGGTCTCATCAAGACCTACCCATCTACCAAGTATCAAGACAATCCATCAAGGCCTTCTCAAGTTATCGTGTTGACACACACACACACATACACGAACGCCCCTGAAAACATAACCTTCTTGGCGAAGGTAACTAGAGTTCCACGATCTCATACGTATACCTTCGCCAAATGATGTTAACTTTTATGAATAAGAACTTATATACAATGTATTAATCCCCCTGATTATGCAAATAGGATCCGCAATTGCATGAATTATATCTGTTGATCATAATCTCCACCAACAGTCTTATTTTAACAAAGAATGCCATTATAGCATTTCCTCATACTAGTATATTATGCAAATGAGGTCCTTATTTGAATAAGTTATGTTAAATTATGTTCACCTTCACTAAACTTCAAACACCCCAAGTATAAAATTCCAGGCAGTTACCACTATGCAATTGTAACATTTTCTCATTAATTATGTAAATTAAGTCTTCATTTGCATAATCGATATCTGCCTGTGTTTCTCTCGTTGTTAATAACATATGTCGCAAGCTTGAACTTCCTATCATGGAATGCAGCTGATTAATAGAATTTCCTCATTAATTATGCAAATTACATCCATATTTGCATAATTGTAATATCATTATGTCAAGCATTACTCAAGCTACCTACATACCAAAAATCATGATGATCCATCAATCGGTTCTTGAGTTATCCTCCTTTAAACATTTGTCCCTTAAACCCCCCTGTAGTTCCAGAGCAAGCTGCTAGGGGGCCCAAACTCACGTCACTTCTTCCCCAGCACAAGAGCTACCTGCCATCCAAATTTCGTCACCCTAGCTTGTCTAGATCATGAGATATCAAAACCGGAAGTTCAGCTGCAGTACCATGACAAGCCGCCAGGGGGCCCAAAATCTAATCAGTTCGAGCTCTCATCAAGACCTACCCACCTACCAAATATCAAGATAATCCATCTAAGCTTTCTCGAGTTATGCTGTTGACAGACAGACAGGCAGACAGACACACGGCCAGGAAAACATAACCTTCTCCAATTCTTGGCGAAGGTAATAAGTAAACAAACAAACAAACAAACAAACAATCGTCAGGTTACGTGTAGGTCAATGCAGAAGAATGTTTTTCATGTGAAACGATGGTCTTGTATGAATACATTCTAAACTCTGTAAAACAGACGACTAAGTCATTTCTAATTCTAGCAGCCCGGCTAATGTACGCGTTTGATCTCGCTAAAGATATAATCAGTTAAAATCATTTTCCCAGTTTTGCACGAAGATTTTTTTTTTAATAACCGTATATGGGCATTAAAAGGTCTCATATTCTATATTTCAAAACGAGTGTATTCAAAAAGCTCTCAACGTTGAAAGGTCTAAAAACGTGACCAAAGCATTTCCGGATAAAAAAAATCGTTTCTTCAATGTTTTTTTGTATATAATTTTGTTACCTTCTTGCGAATTTCTTGGTCTTCCACAATTTCTAGATTGCCCCTACCCTGCCCTCACGGCCCGACTCAGTGACTCATCAGTCCACCCCCCCTTGTCTATCCGGGCAGTGAGAATCGCCCCACCTGGTGTTTTCCCGCCCCCGTCTCGAAAATATTTGCGCGAGGAAAAGCTAAGGTGTGTGAGCGTTTACTTTGTGAAGTGACACACAGCAGAAATACTTCGTTGAGGAAGTAGACCAAGGGGCGTATCGGAAAGACAAAAAAAGCTACAATATAGTTAAATTTGGGAAAATATCCTCCACAACTCTTTGGAAAATTTTTGTCCATTCTGGCTAAGTGGGTAGAGTATTCGCCTTGCACCAAAAAAAAAAAAGGTACACACCACTTTAGTCTCTGCTTAGCACTCAGCATTTGGGAAGGAGTATGGGAGTTAAACACACACCACTACCAGTGGACTAGCCCCCTCATCTAGCGATTGCACTACTGTGTGGCCCAAGGGCTATTGAACCGGAGATTGGCGACGCCCTATGCACCACGTGGTGCGGGAAGGACTTTAAAGCTTTTTTCAACGTTACTAAGATAAAAGAGAGAACTATGCTGAAGTGTTCTTACCGACCAAAGAGTCACCATCTAGGACCTCTACGTAGTCATAGTTACACTGGGAAGCGAACAGGCCGAACGGTCTCTCCAGCTGGAAGTCTGAGAACGTGAGAGTCAGGCTCCCCCCGCGGGATGGTAGCGTCCAGGTGCAGTGCAGGTTCCCAGGGTAGGACGCTGGGTACCCTGGGGACGAGATAGTCCCCTCCGTACCTGTCACTGTCCCTCCACAGTCACCTGATGACGTTTCAAAAGGAGAAATTTGAGGATGTCACAATTTTGCTCCGAGTATCTGCTTGGACAAAAACGTACTCTCCAACAAGGGTTATGCCCGTTTTCGGACCCTTATTTATAGCCTTTGAGGGAGTTTTTTGTCGAAATACGAATTTCAAAGAAAATTAAGTTGGCACAACGAAACTCTAATCATATACTAGTTACAACTGACATGACTGCAAGCATAAGGAATCAAAACATCAAGTTCCAGACTACACATTTAGGTGACATTTAGTTTAGTATTCCATTCGTCAAATTTACAATCACACACTAATAGCAAAAGTTAAGCGCTATCAAAAACTGCAAAGAAAAGTGACAAATTCTCTAGGAAACTAAATGTCCCATATAAACTATGGAAGAAGTTTTGAAAAAGACAAGAAAACTAGTACCTACCGTGAGAAAGTACAGCACAGCTCAACAGTACGATACAGACTTTCATCCACATCATCTTGGAAAATTGTTGAAAGGTCCACAGTGACACACGTAACGATAGCTATAGAAGCAGGGTTGTCTGTAGTCACAAGAATGGTCTGCATACTGACCAGGCCTGGTTTTATACCAGGAACACAGCACACGTTTACTCCTTAAGGGTGGGATGTTTTGGGATGGATCCAGGTGAAAATGATATGTGTAAACAAATTGATGCACCAAAAACTAACCTTAAGGACACAATGATTAAACAGTTTATGGATGTTGATCTGTTTGCAGATTCATTAGCTTTTGTACTGTTTACATCATTTCCAAGGAAACACAGTTTGTTTTTGTTTGTTTCTGTTAAATGTTGACTGTTCACATGTACATATGAGAGCTGGCTATACAAAGTTGTTCAGAGATCCATAGATGCACAAAACGAGTACATAATCACAGAGGCATGACGTGATTTTATTATGGTGATATCCTTGAGAGGTGAGTAGTATAAATAGACAAACAGAGCCATGTTTTTGTGGAGGTACGTGACGGTAAGGGGTGTCAGCTGATGTTTAAACCTCTAAGCGTTTGGTTACTAAGTGCAGTTTAAATTATACATTGTCTTGAAAATACTACACAATACTGTAACGGTAATAAGCAACTAGAAAGGCCAATATTTGCTTTGGAGCAAATACAGCGATGGGTTTACCACATTTTACGACATGGCAGGGAAAGAATGAGAAACACAAGGGAAAACAATGATTTACATTGATATAACTATAATATGAAGTAACATACAACTAAAACAACAGTTGGATAGCTATTCCCTACTTTATTGGTTAGGATTTTTAATTGCATAATGCAAACTGTTGATTTTCAAAATAAATAAAAAAACGTTCATGCCCCGCATTCCAATGCTGGAGCAGAAAAGCTTGAAATACCTACCAAAACACTTGAATAAAGACATACTGTCAGTATGGAAATGCTCTGTGCAGGTGTTAATCAAGTTAAATCCCAACAGCCAATCTGCAAGAAATGCTCTGTGCAGGTGAAAATGCTCTGTGCAGGTGTTAATCAAGTTAAATCCGAACAGCCAATCAGCAAGAGGAAAGCTGCATGCCTATTGGTTGATGCCCTGCATTCCATTGTGATGACTCATGCCCAGACGTGGTAAACACGGCACACTAACACAGTAATACATTTGCTATAACACAGCCAAAAAACTCAAATAAAACCATTCTAAAAGCCTGTATCACAAAAATTTAAAAAACGCCTAGGGGTATTTGCCCACTGTACCTCCATACCAAATTTCAGGACCTTAGGCCCTAAAATGGAGAAGCTGAATCCATTTAAAAAATGGCAGGAGGAGAAGGAGGAGGAGGAGAAGAAACATCAGAAAAAGCAATATGGGTTCACCACCACTTCGTGGTGTGGTGAACCCATAAAAAGTCAGATGGTCAAAATATCATGACCAAACATACAATGTTAGACTTGAAGTTAATAAATAACATTGAACTTTCATTGCATGATCTACTTGTGTATCAATAAAAAAAACAAATTACCACTTGTAATTACTTTCTTATTGCTATGTCAGTTTCACATGATTGTAATACTAATGCTACAAGGTGTATGCTGAAAGTACATGGTGTATCTCTAATATACACTATACTGTATATTCCAAGCATGGTATGCATTGTATAATGTCATTGAATTCAGATGTTTTCAACAGAAACAACATGTAGAATGTGTATGTAAGGTCAGAGCAAGATATAGGCCCCCACATTATTGTACTATATGCCCCTGATGTATTCTACTGTTAGAATGTAAACTTTACATTGTCATGATTATGTAAAATTTAAATTGTCATGATTAAAGTTAACTTTCCCACAAATCCATGAATACACCTTACATCATTGCACATGTCCTCAACAGACAATTCAGCTCACTTGCTGTGCAACAACAACATAAAGCAGTTGCTACTTTTACTTGTCTTACATTACATGGTGCAACTATTATTAATTTTCAACTGCCTTGGGCCAGTTCTTCAGTAGAACTGGACTAGTGTCTACCCCGTAGCAGTATATGATATTACATTTTTTAATGTATTTTGTGAGAAATGTACTCACAGGAGGTGCAGATGAAAGTTTCATGAGATAAGACTATGCTGCTACTGTTAAAACCCTTGTCATGCGGAGCCCATATATATATATATATATGGGTTGCACATACAGTATCACCAATAAAGTGCCCTGTATATGCACGACTTCTCGTGCAACACATCACGCTGCAGCAAAATGCAATGAATGTGAAAGTACCTATGCAACCACAGCGCAAAAAAAGTCAAGGGCCTTTGACCTAATTAAAACCTAATTAAATTAAAATTGCAGTACTGTTCTTTAGAAATAAAACATGATTAGTTTTTGTTGACATTCTACAGTAGATATTCTATTTCATATGGTGTACCCAAAATTTTTTTTGGGCACCCAATTTTTTAGGTTGCACCTTTTCCCCAAATTTCGAATTTCGAGTCCTGCAAATACATCAATACTATACACATGTATTCAGAAGGTCTGCCACTACATGTCCATCCTGAGTCCCCTTGTGTTGTGCTGTGCCTTGTGCCTGCTAAACTGGTCCTGTTGGGAGAAGGCCTTGAGGCAGATGTGACACAGGTAGGGGTGCTCCTCGGCGTGTTTGGGCATGTGGAGCTTCAGACCCTCTCGTCGAGTGAACTTCTTCATACACAGGTTACACTGGTAACTCTTCACTCCGGTGTGAATCAGTCTGAAGTAAAAACAAGGATTAATCTGATTAAAAAAACTGTACCATTGTCTTCAAAATGTGCAGTGTACTGTTTTAGGGCTTCGAAATAGTGCAGGTAAAATTGGAGCTGTGCAGGTATTTCTGATGTTGACAACCAGTCCATGTACTGGGTTTATACACATATGCACAGTGTAGGAGTACATACAAATTATATTAGATTTTTAATTTGCTACATTGACTGTCACCATTAATGAACTGTGAAAGAAATAATGCCAATGGTTTATGAACAGTTTAAGTGTGATCCATACTTCTTAAACTTCATTTCCTTTCCTCTTACATGCAACAGTTAGCAGAGCCCTGCATTTAGATGGACAAACTGGAATGCATTGTCCAAACTGGAACTGTGTTTCTTCATGTCTGTTTATGTTGTTATGATGTAATAGCTAATGTTTTCAAGGACACCCGGAAGAGTACCAGTTGCTAATGGAGATACAAACAAAGAAACAAATGGACAAAGTGACAGGTTGTCTGTTGAGGTGTGATTTGCTGCAGAAATACCATAGAACTGTGTTTCCTCATGTTTGTGTGTGTTATGTTCTAATAGCTAATGTTTATAAGGACTCCCAAAAGAGTACCTGTCCAGTTGCTAATGGAGATCCAAACAAATAGACAAAGACAGAGGTTGCGTACCTGTGTCTGTTGTGGTGCGACTAGATGCTAGATGCAAAAATACTGTGTTTCCTTATGTTCGTGTGTGTAACCGGTAATACTGTTATGATGTAATAGCTATAGTTTCCAAGGACTCCCGGAAGACTACAAGTTGCTAATGGAGGTACAAACAAACAAAGTGAGAGGTGTCTGTTTAGGTACTACTTGTTGCGGAAATACTGTACAACTGTGTTTCTTCATGTTTGTGTGTGTTATGCTGTAATAGCTAAATGTTTTCAAGGACTCCCACAAGAGTACCAGTTGCTAATGGAGATCCAAACAAAGAGAGAAAGTGAGAGGTTGTGTACCTGTGCCTGTTGAGGTGGGACTTGTTGCGGAAACTCTTGCCACAGCTCTGACAGTGGTACGGACGCTCCCCGGTGTGAGTTCTCTCATGGGCCTAAAACAGACATGATCATCCATTTATATACATCTACAGCAGTGTGTAAGTATTCACAAGTATCTTATTTTCCTATAATGCATGTACATGTACTTTAAGACACAAGTATCTTCAATGTGCACAGTGGCCATGCTAAGATAAAATTCTTAGCAGCATGCATTACTGGTTGAACATCTCAATGATAGAGGAAAAGACACTGAAAAGACTGATAAGCCTTAAGCTTTGTATTCCAATAATATATTTGTTGCTAAATCTATTGTAAGGTAAGTAAAAGGTAAAGGTAGTTCCATTCTTTTTCAGGCTGTAGGGGCAGTGGGTTGTTAGTCCCCTGTGTCTAGGACATGGTATTGGAAGGCAGAACCCATCCCTCTCCTTCCACTGCCTTTTACCTTCCCAACCAATTCAGGGCAGGTACCCAATGTATACAGCTTTAAATTATTGAAAGAACATGCTACCATTTACTTCATATCTATGACAGCTTTATAATATAATATAATATAGAGGATGTACTGTTAACTCACATATAGACTGCTCAGCTGGCTGCACCTTTTTCCACAAAACTGGCAGCTGAATCGTCCTTTGTGGGTCACCATGTGGTTACTGAGTTTCAGAACATCATCAAACTACAGGTGTGAAAGAAATGCAGAGATTAACATATAGTATTAGCACAAAAAGATACAAACAGTTGTGACTATGGGTTCAAAATGTGTTTTCACTGTTCACCAAAAAGTACCTGAGCTACATTTACCAAAATCCATCCAAAGCCTTTTATTATAATAATTAAAAACTGTTTGAGAAAGAAAAATTCAAATACCAACAGCATCAAAAACCTAGTACGTAGAACGAATAAGACACATAGTTGAATACTTCACCTGAGCTCCGCAGGTGTCACACAGGTACAGCTTGGGACAGTGGCTGTGCACCTGCAGCAGGTGCTGCTTCAGGTGACCAATCATGTTAAACTGACTCTTACAAATGCTGTGGAGAAAAAAAAACAGTAACAGGAACATCGATCAGAATCATCTTGTATCTGTTTTATGCTTTACATATTGAATTTCCTGCCATATTTGCATCTCAGGGTTTATAAATATCAGTGGCATATGATGACATTAAAGCATAAAAGTTGCATACTTAAAACAGAAGCTTATTATCACAGCCTGTTTACCTGCATGTGACTTTCTTTTCCCTGAAAGGATGTAGGGTCTTGTTGGGGTTTGGAGCCATCATTCTGCTTGTCATTGGTGAGGACATGGTACTCATAACCCCTTCCAGACCCATACTAGCCACCATCTCAGGACTGTGAAACCAGGCGTCTCTCCCAACACTTGGCCCTGCTCCCATGCTCGTGACATTCGCGGCCTGGGCTGTTAAAATGTCCCGTATCATTGAAGGCCCGCTACTGCTTGCTTCTTGGTTTGTCAGAAGATGTCTTAGATTACTGCTCTCCCCCGTCTCTAAACCTTGTGGAAAATAGGGACTCGAGGAGAACATCGACTCTTCCTTGTCTTGAAACTCAAGGAAGGAGTTTCTTGCTTGCTGCTGCAGGGTGGCCATTTGGTCCATGACATCATGAGCCTCTGTCCCGGTGTCCTGTGTGGCGGTGTTCTCTGTCCCGGCGTCCCCAGCGGCTCCTGTCTCTGACTGGTCCGGCCAGAGGTTCCGTACAGTGTGCAAGCTCACGGGGTAGACTACAGAGCCAAGAAAGTTGGGGTCCGATCCGTCGCTCTTGTGCAAATCGTGCTCGGGCGATTCTCCGTCACCAAAGTGGTGCTCTAACTCTGATGACTCGCCCGACATGATCCCACTGTTACTGACAGAGTTCTGCTGACTTGTGGCTGCCTGTGCGCACGTGGGTTGGTTCTCGTCGGTCTGTTCCTTTTTCACGGTGACGGTCTGCTCTTGGGCGGCAGTGCTTTCTCCCGGAGACTGAAGGATGCTCTGCTTGTCTGCAGCTGATTGGTTGGAATGTGGTCTTGAATTGTTGCTTGATGCACGATCTTCATTGTTCTGTGCCTTGCTGGTCTCACTGACATTCAAGTTTCCATTTGGACTAACCCTTGATGAGTTATCATTTCTTTCCCCTCCCATACTTTCTTCTGACACAGTCCCTGGTGTTTCATACGCGTTGAGCAGCGGACTGCCAGCGTGAGGAGGGCTGAAGTTACTGGTCACCTCAGCCTCTGATCCGCGACCGTTTCCCCCCGCAGGCTCACGAAACTTCACCTGGAGAAAATGTAGTGAACTTTTTTGACACAACTTCAGTACAGCGCCTTTTGTAAGGTCTATAGCTAGACATACAAACTGACACGTGGGTACAAAAGACTTAACCTACATACAAGAGTCAACTATAGATGAATCAACTTATACTTCTTGTTCTAGGGTCTAAGCATTTTCTATATATTTACCAGTCCTATTTGTACACAGTTGGCATAATTAATATTACCTTCTAGCACTTCAAGAATTAAATTAAATTTATCTATACCATGAAATGTAACAAATTCCATTGAGCAAGTGGAAAGAAGGTTAAACAGTTTTGTTTGCTTGTCATTATAGAGTGGACAATCCATAATAAAATGGATCTTCACCTCCACGTTGGACCGCATGAATGACGTACAGTCTGCCATCAGCTTGTGCATCTGCAGGTAGCTGGCAGCCGAGAGGATGTCAAACACGTTACTGGAGGTGAGTCTGATGCGAGAGGTGTACGCAAACTCCAGAATGGGTTCGAAGCCCTTTAAGGTGAGCTCATTAAGACTGACGATGGTGGGTTGTGCTGGGCTGGTCAGGGTGAGTCTGGGAGACAGCTGGTCCACAAACTTACTGTAGAACCACTGGCTACAGCCGGCAAGAACCGCCTTGTGGGCCGGGAAGTGCTTGTCTGGAGAACAACAGTGGAAAAAGATAATAGTATTGCTTGGAAAAAGATATTGCTTTGATGGAAAAATGTGCACCTACTACTACTACTTGTAGCTAAAAAGTGTAATCACTGACTGTTATCACAGTATAATAATCAATAAAACAGAGCCATTACTAATTTACATTTGGACATTGTAAGGCAAAACAAAATAAAAAAGCTAATATTTATCTAAACCTATAACTGATGTAAAATCATAACTAAACCCTTGTCTATGTGACTGATGTAAAATCATGAAAAAAGAATACATTAACTATAATAAAGATCAACAAAGACAACTAAATCCTTGTAAATACCTGATGTAAAATTTCATAATACCAGTCAAAATATCAACAAAGACAAACACAGACTTACCTTGTATGCGAAGCACCACATCACACAGGTGGTGTTTCTTACGCATGGAGTTCAGGTTGATAAGCAGGAGGGAGGCGTGTTCGGACACCGTATGCAAATGCACCGACGACATGGTAGGGTTTCCAGGCTTTGAAGTTCCACTGTGGAGGATAAACTACTAGTAACAAAAGAAAGAGCAATAACATAAGAACAGGCTGGAGAAAAAAATTATAGAAATTAGCTTTTGATCATTCATTTATTAATGCCTGCCATAGATATCATGAGGAGAAACCTGATATTACCACAAAGTCTTGCTGCACAGAATGTAACAGATCTCATCTATACATGTACATGTGCATGTACAGGCGTAGTTGCATAGAATTACCCAAGGTCACATATATAATTCATTATAAAGGTTACCCCTGGTTATCCAAGGATCAGTTGGTTAGCCAAGGCTGTACTACAAGGTTCACTGAGGTCATAAGACTCGTATATGGTTACCCAAGGCTAAAAGCTGCTTTTCAAGGTTTCAAATGGCCACCCAAGAGGGTCACCTGCACTTAAATCCAAGGACATGCAGGGATACTTTGTAAGACATACATTTAATGTTCAATGCACAAATGTACAATGTATATACATCAATGGAATTCCTGAATATGTAGAATATGTTGGGTACATGTAGCAGTTACTTGTAAGCAGGGCAGAGAAAAAGCTGGTCTAACAGGTTCATGATTTTAGTGAAGGATATCATGGTCATAAATTGCAATGATATGTCAAATAATGATTACCAACAACCATACATGTAATGTATTTAAGAGATCATAGTATATAGCTATGTTATAATATCATGTATCCTTGATACCTCAATCCACATAATTCATTAGAGAAATCAAAGACAGGGAGTTGAAATACTATTGAGTATTGTGTTAAGTATTTTCTTTAAAAACTCTGATACTCAATCGAGGACACAGTTGGAGGACGCGGCCTTCAGAAAGGACACTTGATCTAAAGACGGCCTCCCTAAAATTATGCAATTGGCTAAATGCAAGAGAAAGTAAAACTTCATTGCTTTACATGATATTCTGATCAAATGTGCTTCAAAGAGACTTCTACCAGAAACAAGAAACACGAGAACTATCAAATTATTTATTCCATTTTGATCAAGGATTTTGTTGGTATTTATTTCCAAGGCCAACTGTTGGTACCTTACCCTGAACCTGTGTACATGTTGCATCGCCTTTGAATTTTAATAGTCTAGCCATCTTGGAGGGAAAGCTTTAGCAGGGGGTTTTACAGACCTTGAAGTTGTTGAAAGACGCACGTTTAGTCGATCTCTACATACTTTACTTGGTCTGATAACCCATGGATTGAATTGAACCCCCTTCCATATAAACCAAGGACGCTACAGACGATATGTCGAGCCCGGGGCCAGCACAAACATATCCCCCAAAACGAAGGATCTTTCATGGCGATATCCGGATACGAGTGCAGATTGTTAAAAACGACGTTGTACTATAAGTCTATTCTTACCTTTATGGCTTGAGATCGACGCTATTAGGTCGACAGCAGCGTCGAAATTCGTGAAAGACAACAACAAAACACCAAGAAGCCTTCCTCATTCACTTCTTCCAGCCATGTTGGACGATCGCATTAGTTTGTAGGGGTGTGGCATATACTTTTTAGGCATTTCTGTCTGAGAATTTAAGTTGTAAAAATTGAGTTTTTTTTAATTTATTTGATAAAACCGTGCTCATATTTTACTCGAAAATGTACTTAGGGATGGATTTGTCCAACCTGTTGCATCAAGAAATTTAATTTCTTTCAGTAAAGGACTTTATGGTATTGCTATTAATTATACCAATCAACGACAGGTTAAGAAATTCGGCAGAAATTTCTAACCAATGAGATCATCCAATAGATATGAAGTATGGTTGCCAGTCACGTGACACGAAGAAGATAACATGGCGGGCCTCGGCGAGGGGGAGGTGCGAGTTGTGGAAACTTTACGGGTTAAAATCGGTCAGTAACTCACTATTTTCTCTCAGATTTGGTGCATACACTTCGGAGACATGTATATTGAGTTACATCTGGTACTATATTGAAGTGTTAGTGACGAGATGTTGCAGAAAATGAGGGTAAACTTGGGTGCGATGTGTCGTCTGTTTTCAGTGTGGACAGATTTTCGTATCGCGCCGTAACGTTAGAGGCCAAACCCCCAGGCGCCGCAACCCAAACCCGCCTGGTGTACCGTTATCTTTCCCGACGTTTCCTCGGAGCGACCCTCCCGACCCAAACTCCGTGTTCCGTGAGAAACATACGATGTAACTGCGTAGTTTTTCTCATGTATTTACCAAACGATTTGGTGTGATACATCGTCTGGAGGCCCGCCATTCGATAACTATACGACGATAGAGTAAATGTGTACCCAAAACAGACAAATATTGACAGTTTGTCGGTAGTGTTCGCAAACTTCACCATTGAAACCTTTAATGCGAATGTATCCTCTCTGTTTGCCATTGGATGAACGTTATCTTTCTTTTAAACCTTTTGCGGCGGACTTAAAAGTTCCATGCCCTTACTTAGACTTTAGTGTTATATTCCAGACGTTACAACTGTTTGATTGTGAATGAGATATTCATCATTTTGTTTGACAAAATGGCTGCTATTGATAAGGTGCACGAGTATGGGAGGGAAAGGTGAGACACATGACAAACGGAGCGTGTAGGTCATACATCACTCAGAATGCTGACAAGTTTTCTGTGCTGCTTACAACAAAATCTTTGAGATACTAGAGTAGAAGACAAATGTTGAAAATCAAACAAACTAGATCATATTATTATACAATACTTCTGTCCATTTCATCACAAGACTTGGTTTGGTGTGGTTTTGTTAGATACACCAGGCTATGGAGATTGGAGATTTTCTAGGTAGGGTAGATTTTGTAATTTGTCCTGTATCATTAGTAGAAGACAAATGTTGAAAATCAAACAAACTAGATCATATACAATACTTCTGTCCATTTCATCACAAGACTTGGTTTGATGTGGTTTTGTTAGATACAGGCTATGGAGATTGGGGATTTTCTAGGTAGGGTAGATTTTGTAAATTGCAATGTCCTGTATAGATATAGGCTGAATGCAAATCTAAATTAAAGTAGTTTTATTTTTAGTTTTAAATTTTTGTGCTGTGATATAATCAAGTTTCATAGTAATCATTTTACACTGATGCCACTTTTAAAATCTGCAGCATTGAGCTATCACATCAAAATTTTAAGATTAATGCCCTTTGGTTCATTATCCTATGAGCTTAATTGTTTGTGTATTAATTTATGCAAATTAACAGCATCATTGTGATATGTAGGTATGTAACTGTATACATGCAAAATGTTGTTCTACATACAATATGTATGATTTGTCAGAGGCTAAGCTTACGTTTGGAAAGTGATTGCATAAGTTGATCACTCTTGACATTTGCACTTGAACCTGTAGTGTAGACTCATTCACTCACCATTTGATTCACAAAACTGTTGCTACTCAGAAATGTGATTCACTGGCAGCAATTGGTCTTGCAAATAACTACATATGTATACATGATGCTGTAATTATGTGCACATGGCACATAAAAGAATGTTTTGTAGTGAAATCCAAGCAGATGTGACAGTGGGGCTTGTACTAGAAAGGTTCAAAATTCCACAAAATAGACAAAAATCAAGCTCCACTGCTACATCTATGGTTAATAGCAGGTAAAGTGGTTGAATATGAAACATGTCCCTGATCAAGAATTGATAAAAATCATGTAGATTGTGTTGTACTGTGTAGCATTCAATAAAGCAAGAAATTCCTCTGTTGGTCAAATGCATTCTTCAAGCACGTACAACTGTTTACATATCGCTTAAACGTTTGAAAAGTTTTCCGGATATCCTTGTTGCCTAACCCCGCAACCCATGGAATTTTGTGCCAAAAGGCCAGCAACGTACCTCAGTTAGGATAAGTTAAGGCATTTCATGCTTCCAAATTGGTACCATTACACTGGTAATTGGGCATGCCAAAGTACATGTGTAACAGTAAGTTTGGCAGGCAGTATTCACCACTACACACTAGTGTTGAGCCATGAATGTGCGCCACAATCTTAATGGAGTGAGTCGGAAAGCCAGCTGGACAAAACAGGTGCCAGCAGTCACTACTGGGCACATTTCTGGGATGTTATAAATTGATAAGTCCTGTCGAGGCTGTCGTACTTCCTGGCCGCACATATCTAGGCTGGCTAGAGTTACGGCAGGGTGGGAAGGCTATGTACATATAAAGCCGCCTGGAGCAAAGGGTGACATGCTACCACTGGGATGCTCCCGGCCAGGGGCTCTTGTAGGGTTCACTGTGATATCATAGTAGTGGCCATACAACACTGTTGATAAAAACTGGTGGCATTGATCACTTCTAACTTTATTATTTGCAAGTACATAAAAATTGTAGGATTGTCTTATGCCAGATTTGGCTCCAAATCTACTTAAGGTATGCCTACCACAGGCCAAGACTGATATACAAATCACAAATTTGTTGACAACATCCTACTAGTAAAGTAATGCTCTCACCAAGAATTGTCCAGGTAAAACCGAAACCTTCTTGTTCTTCCTTTGTCAGGAATATATATGAATTACTTAGGCTTTTGTTGGTCCCTTAATAAATGGTTTTCATGTCATTCTGATTCATAGTTTTGACCTCTCCATATGGAACCATTCAGGTCATCTTTCACTTAAATGGTGAAAAGAGCACCACCCTAGCAACAACTGGCTAGGAGGTATCACACTGGCCTTGAATGCTACAACCTCGTGTCATAGGGTCAAGAGATCATGGCATAAGCAGACTCTTTGATAGCATTTGCAGTATAAGCAAGAATGAAGAGTATCCAGGGCATCATATTCTCTTTATATAGATGGTGAGATAATGGAGAAAGGATTGCTTTTATGTCTCAGTTACATGATGTGTTGTGTCTAAGGTCATATATCTACAGCTCTGCTGCATGGAGCAGGAATGTTTGCAACAAAGACTGAGCTTATAAATTCAAAATATTGCTTGAAATTGAACTGTTTCAATCATACACATAGTATATGTATACATACACCACATTTGTAGATATGCTTTACTTAAGCTCGTGTTCAATTGTCAGGTAGTTTATGTATTGGTCCTGCTTGAAAGTAAATACTGATTAATCTGAAATTCTAGCTGTCAAGTCAATTTAAGTTCAAGAGTAATAGACTGTAAAACAGTTTTTATCACTAATGTCTGTGCAGGAAGCCAATTTAAATAGGAGGCAAATGTACGTATGCTAATTTGGAAGCACAGTTAGTATACAAGGTTGAGTTTTTTTCACAATCCCCTACTTAGGCTTAAGCTTAGAAAGCTTCTTTCGCCCATAGCACTATGTACATTCTTGCATGGTCTCTTACACTGTATGCCTACTATGACAGCTGACATTTCCGTTGTTTGTTTCCCAGTCAGGCTTGTAATTAGAGTCAACTCTACATTTGTAAGACAGTCAGTGTAATGTACTGTAGTATTCAAGCAAGCTGAAAGGCAACTTGTCTACCTAGACGTGATGTTACCATGGCCTTGTCACAACATCTTGAACTTGTATGCAAAAGGTCACTAATGGTCTGCTGGCTATGTAGGTCTTATTTCCTGATTTGAACAGTTCCATACCACTTCAAAGCAGGTGATTTTTCCCTCAGGCGAAGTGTTTGTATTTTGTGGGTTGTGGTCTGCCAGGATGTTTTAGAGGTGACATCCGCTTTAGTGGGTTGCTACACAGGTGGCAGGCTACACTATAAAGGTGATCCCAGTGTGAACACTGGGGGACTTGTCACAAGTACTTTGCGGTGAAATAGTCCAGGGGAATAAACCACAAAAAGTGTGCCTCAGGTAGAATGTAGGACACAGCAAGATGGCTATCTACCCTGTATTCACTGCTGTGCTTGTGTTCTATTTAGTGGTACATGTAATTGGTCACGTATCAGGGCTTGAAATCCTGAACTGGTGCAGTAAATGTTAACATTGAAAAATCATCAGCACTAAATATTACCTGCACCACAGTTGTGGTCTCTGAACAGTTAAGTGTGGATCATTCTATAACTGTTGAGGAACCATTGCTTTTACTCTTCCGGTAACAGGCAATAAATGTAGCAAACGAAAATCAACATACTTTTTATTTATAAACCCAATACATGGAAGAGTCATTGCAAGTTGCTGGTTAATAATTACTTATAGGTGCAGAAATACAAATTAATGTACCTGTACAGCTCCAATTTTACCTGCGCTATCCTGCATATAATTATATGTAGGTGGTATTTTGAGCCCTGCATTTTATAGTTTCTGGACTGTGTACATGAATGTACAAATTAGTATACCTTGTCCTTCAATGTCAGTCTTTCCAAGTTGGGGGTCTGAAATATATACCAGACAACCATTGTATTTACGGTATTTGGTAAAACTTTGTAATTGGAGTTGGACATTGGACTGGCTGTTTGGTTATTGCTTAGGAGACGCTGGAATTTAATCAGAGGTCAGTTTTGAAGAAAGGAATTACATGTACACCAGTAAAGGATACATATGTACATCTATGAGATGATTTTTAAGAGTGAGTTTTAAAAGCCAAAAGCAGGTAATGGATTGTTCCAATTTGTACATGTTAAATTGTTATACAAGCATTAGATAGATAAATAGATGTGAAAAAAATGTTTGACTCAGCTGCAATGGCCATGGGCAACTAGACTTTTTTTCAGTGGCTTTTAGGCATTTTACTTTATAAATACAGATTGTCAAAGTTACCCCAGGTAATACTTGGTAGCTCAAGCTTACTAAAATAAATGCCTTCAGGCCCAAGTTGAATCATTTTTGAATCCAGTAATTTTCCAAAACACAAATTTCATGTCAGTAAACATCACAAGCAAGGCCAATATATCTACATATCTCTACCAGATCTCAAGTGTGCTTCATACCATAGATGACCTTGTATTCCAGGTTAGCCATTTAGTTAAAATGTTGCAAATTATGCTATTATAAAGTTCATTTCTGACAAAGTTACTGCCTGGGCTAAAAATAGAAGAAGAAGACAAAAGAACCATTGTTAACATGTTCGCTAGTACTTTAGAACTTTACAACTGGCAAGTTTATGGTCTATTTGCAGGATGTGTATTGTCTTACTGTTCAAACAACAATTCAGTACCAATTGATTATTTGGTGCTGTCATCTGTATCAGTTGATTGGAGTAGATTAACAAACAATAGTGACAAATTAGTGGTGACTCATGATGTTGAATGAAAAGAATAACAGGTAAATTGATACCATAAAACAGGATTGGTCCAATAGAATATAGTATAACAGGATTTATATTATAAGCTTTACTGGTAACTTAGAGTTAGAGGTATTATATTAGATTGTATTGAAGGAAGGCTTTTTTGTCTGGAATATTTTGAAAATGATATTGACGCCAGAACTCGTGATATTTTTATACATGTGTAATTTGTAAAATTAGATTTACACTGATTTGATGATGCCATTATGATACAAGTCACTTAGCAATATTTGTATGTAAAATTTAATTCAATGCTATGATTATGAAGTCTTGAAGAGTAAGTACTTGCAAACCAAGTTTACTGTCATACTCATAGATGTATTTCTCAGAAAAATTAAAATAAATGTACATAAATATACAAAACCAGGGCTCCAAATAAACACCTGACAGGTTCTTCTGGAGCCCTGGTTTCGTACAAGTTGAAATTTTCTCTTTTACATTTGAATGCTATACAACTTACATTTCTCGAGCTTTGATTGAATGCATATGTTGCACAATCATGTTGACAACAGCACATTCAAATCAAGTCTGTTTCTTGAATAAATGTATAGCTCTCTCAGCCTCTCTGTATGTTTTTTAGGGGAAGGAAAGAACTTTGGTGCCAGCACAGGCCCAGTGGGGACCAGAGACACCTTCTGTACTGTCAGCCTGGACCAGGAAGAGGTGGTCAGAACAAAAACTGTGGAAAGGACACAGAGGTATAGTTATCACTTGAAATATCTTAAAGATGTATAGTTCAATATATATATTCTACCCCTGTGAACGTCCTCTATACTCTAGGTAAACGAACTATAGTGCATTGGTGTGAAAACATTTTATAGATATCTTGTAGCCTAAAGCTGTATGTTATATTTATGAAATCATATATGGCTAATGATGTATGTGACATTTACAAACTTATAAATATATATTCAATACTTGTTGGAAGTACAAAATGTATGATATAACATATTAAAATAGTATAATAAGATGATCTTACTGTCAAATTTTGACTAGTATGAAGTGCCATACTCTGAAATTATGATAAAATTGTCTTATTGTCAAAGTTTGAATATGAAGTGCCATAGAATTTTCTCATCCATTTCAGTGGAAGCTACTTGTTAGCACAAAATGTATAAGCGTTCCCCCATAATTTATTAACCATGGCTGAATCCTGTATATATTCAGTGCCTTCTTTGGGGAGGAGTTCCAGTTTGAGGTTCCCAGACCGTTCCGTGTGTTGTCGTTCTACGTGTACGAAAAAGACCTGTTGAAAAGAGACAGTTGTCTAGGCAAGGCCTGCATCAGGAAGGAGGAGCTACACAGATACCATGGCAAGGACCACTGGTTCTCTCTCACACATGTGGACCAGGACTCAGAAGTACAGGTCAGACTGTTCACCTTGATACTTAGTTTAATTCTTCTATTCTATATTTTGAGCATGTCAGCAGAACATACTGCACCTGTGCGAAACCTAGATTTTTCAAGTTGGACGTTTGGTCAACATAGTATCAGAATTTTGCCCATTGCAGATGATATCTTTTCAGACACAACCTTTAAAAACTACAGACAGGATGTCATCCTTAAGTATGTGAATATGACCCTAAAAGAGACGTTCTGCCAAAGAGTTATGCACAATACATTATGGGTTTTGCACAGGTGCAGTACACTCTGCCGATGTATGTTTACAGTGTCTATTATTATAGAACTGATGCTATTCCACCTTCTTCCAATTTGTACCATTGAGTGGAGGCCCATAAAAACATTTCAGCTGACCCTACATTTCTGTCTACAGGGACAAGTCCACGTGGAAGTCAGGTTGACAGAGATTATGGAAGATGCGGGAAAAACTGTCTTCAAAGTGTCTGCAAGGTACTTTTCAACTTACTATCTTTGACAATGATTAATTTTGATACATATTAATGTATGAGGGAGTGTACCATTATTCTACATTGACATTGATAGTTGTACTGTTTCAGTTGTGTTCCCAAATCAACAAAGATTGTTATACACAGTATTGTACTTTTGGTGAGTGGAATTAAATTGGGGCAAACTTGTAACAATTAGTTTTCCTCCAAAATATGTATATTTCAACATGTGTGCTCTTTTTGCAGAGTTTTAGAATGCAGTGGCTTGGCTATAATCAATGGCTGTTGTGATCCCTATGCAAATGTTACATTCTGCACACCAAATAGGTAAGAAGAGCCATTTTTCTTATATTCAATTTGCATATGCATGCGTTATAAGTTAAAGTTGTACGTGTATCTTTCTCTCCTATAGTTTTTGTCCTTTACAGGCTTCGTAAATAAACAATGTAAATAGATTATGCTTGGTGTAGCTTATTTTTTGGCATTTCATTTATGCTGATTATTTGTTTTTTTTATCTTTTACAGAACAGAAAACAAGAAGACCAAAGTACGGAAGAAGACAACAGACCCTCACTTCGATGAAACTTTTTATTTTGAGGTTGGTTACCGTCAACTTCTTTCCAAAATCTTTTTTCCTCATTATAATCAGACAAAATTAGTAACTGTCCAGGAAATGATTTTAATACATAGTATGACCACCTATGTTTGTTTTTCCCCCTTGTAGCTTAACCGACCAAGTCCAAGTCCGGACAACAGATTCAGCATAGTGGACGAAGACATAGACAAGACAGAACTCAGGTTTGTTCTTACCTGAAGGCTTAATATAAGGTTGTTGTCAGTGTCAGATATGCCACCTAGCTGCCACACCATGTACTGCAGTTATTGTGTCAATGTTGTTGAATTCTTGAAATGTCCATGCTAGTGACAGGCTTAGCTGCTAGGATTACATGACTATACATATGCATCTAATGTTGTCCATGTTTCTTGTATTGTATACAGGGTTAGCCTTTGGCACTCCAGTAACTACTACAAGTTTGCAGACGTATTCCTTGGTGAAGTTAAGATTCCTTTAAGTACTTTGGACATGACCAGGCCACAGAAGCTGCACAAGGCATGGTAAGTGCTGTGTATTAGAAATACAGTATCCCAAAAAATCAACAAAGTAAACATCTACTCATCATCAGCATTGGTTCTCTAAGAATTAGAGCTGTATTGTCAATACAATTTTTTTGTGGAATTACACCACAATTTAACACAAAAAGTAACGCAAACAAATTTTTGCAAGCTATCATATTGCTCTGAATTGTAATTCTTGGATTTCTAATCATTTCCATAAAAAAGTTCTTACTATTTACACTAAGTCCATGAAATCGCAACATTATGTTACCCAACACCAGTCACCATGGTGACAGACGTCAACAAATCATGTCATTGGCCAGGTCAGAGGTTAGTGTTTGGAACAGAAGAGGAAGAAACTGAGTAAAAACAATATGTTTTCCTTCGGTAAACATAAATATCAGGAATTACAGTACTTGTTTGTTTGTTTGATAGGTACCTGCTTCAGCCTCGAGACAGCACCCGACCAAGTAAGCCGTGCCAGGGTTCTCTCCGACTCAACATCAACTACACAGAGGACCACATCTTCCCCTCCCACTACTATGACTCTCTCTGCAACCTGCTGCTAAAATCTCCTGATGTAGATGTAAGTGGACGGAAGAGCCTTCTTTAAACAAATGCTTGAAGTAGAAGTAGTAGTAGTTGGTAGAACGTACTGCGCCTGCGTGAAACACTGAAACCCGGGCTTTTTCATGTTTTTTCTTGGATGTTTGGTCAACATTGCATAGGAATTTCATCCGTCGCATAAGATAGTTTTCCAGCACATTGTCAACATTTGAAAACTATAGACAAGGTGTCATGCTATTACTATAGTATTAGTTATATACCTGAAAAACACTTTAAAAGAGACGATCTATACACATTATGGGTTTGGTGCAGGCACAGAACGTTTTGCCAAAATGTTTGTAGTAGCTAATGAGTAACTGTGTAAGTGTGGGATGCATGTTACATTCTACTAGTCCATTGCTTGTACAGTAGCCATGTGCATGTTAATTTAAATCCATGTTCTTAACAATATTTTAGTATTTCAGAACATCACTAATTGTGCTTGCACCTCACATGCATGTATCATATATACCTGAAGTCTGACCAAACATATATTAAACATGTTCTAAATGTATAGCTGTAATGTACAAATGTATCGTTTAAACTGTCAAATGACCATTACGATATTCCATTGCACTAACAATTCATGTCTGCTTGCATGTATTACTAAATTATGTGAATGAACTTGACTCATCAGTGCGCATGCTCTTAATCTGAACTCACACATACAGTACATGTGTATGTTTGTGGGTAGGCAGTTTGTTTAAACTTGACCATGTTGCCTGTTGTGATATTGTTGTTGTCCCGTCTCTCCCAAAAGTTGGTACAGGAGTGAGACCGCCATGGTAAGTTAGACCTTATCTGGGTGTTTCTGGTGCCGGTACGGTGTGTGGTGAATGTGTTTGTGAAGGTGTCAACTCGTGGAATTGTCCCATGTTTAATTTGTACTGTGATAAGGATGGAATAATTCAAGGATAGTTATTCAAGGATTATGCAAGGGCAGGGCTCGAAATTTATTTTTGGGAATAGGTGCACTGGCCTGGTGCACCCAACCTAAAAAATTGAGTGCACAAAAAATATTTTGGGTGCACCATATAAAATAAAATAAGTAGAATGTCAGCAAAAACTAATATGTTTCATTTGTAAAGAAAAGTACTACATGTACAACAATAATTTTATTATTTTTTGATACATGTTCTTGGATGTTAAGAATACGCTGTATACTAATACATTTAACATCTTTACATACAAAAACCTAAGAAAATATGTGGGTGCACCCACAGAAAAAAAATTGAGTGCACAGCTCCTAATTTGGGTGCACATGCACCCTGTATTTCGAGCCTTGTAGGGTGTACAAAATATAAGGGCTTTTGATAACTTGCTATGATGGTAACATTGGTTAGTGGTTGTGGATGTTGTCTTGTACTTTAGGTCTGATAAAGTCATAGACTATATGGATAAGATAAAAACAGCAGAATTTTAGTCTTTATGTTAATGACTCTTTCTCGGTAAAAAAACTTCAGCTTGAGCAAGAACATATTTTTGAATTTCTCCAGTTGGTTGAATGCTTTTCTACCACAAATGGTACATGTAACTCTTATAGGACATCATATAACTAAAATTATTTTGACAATGTTACAATTAGATTACTTAACCTTGATTTTTCCTCAGTATTAAGTCCTTGACAAAAAGTATTTCAACCTGTTGTGTTTGTTCCAACCTTGTTTTGTGCAGCCCCTGTCGTCCAGTGCAGTGAACATCTATGGAGAAGTGATGAAGGATAAGTTGGAGGAAGCTGCCAGGCCGCTGGTCAGACTGTTCCTGCACCACGGCAGTCTGCTGCCACTCATCTCGGCACTCGCCGACCGCGAAGTCGCTAAAATGACGTAGGTTCAGCCAAAGACACCCTTTTTTGAGCCATTATGGTATACGCCAAAAAACAGTTACTCAAGCAACTGGATATGATTTTGAAAACGTCAGACGTTTCAGCTAGTATCCACTAGCTTTCGTCAGTGACTGAGAGACCAGAGGGGAAAGCAGGTTTATAAGTACAACCTGTTGATTGATATGCAAATAAAGTGAAGACCTGCTTTCCCCTCTGGTCTCTCAGTCACTGACGAAAGCTAGTGGATACTAGCTGAAACGTCTGACGTTTTCAAAATCATATCCAGTTGCTTGAGTAACTGTTTTTTGGCGTATCGTATTACCTGGATGTCTAACCTTCATCGACGCATTATGGTATACATGTGTAGATACACTTATGCAGAAGATCCCCCTGTTGGACTTCTGTAGTACTGCACCCTTAAACACATACCATTTCAGAAGAAATAAAAATTGTAGTAATGTTAAAAGCAATAGCCATCCTGTTTTTTCAATGGTACTTGCTCTCAAAAAATAAGAAAAGAACATTGCTTTAGAAGTCCCGCTTTATATATACTGTGTGCTCATGATTTGTTTTTTACAATTTAATTCCAAGGACTTGTCCCAGGGTAATAGATTTGATTTTGAATGTCCTGTAGGTATGAACAATGTAAAGTTATCCAATTTGTTTCAGCTACATTTATATCCATTGTGCTAGCTATTTTTGTGACAAGCACATTGTTAGAAATCTTGAATAATATCCTCTTATCCACCTGTAGGGATCCCAACACTCTGTTCCGAGGGAACTCGCTGCTGACCAAGTGTGTGGATGAAGTGATGAAGCTTACAGGAATGCACTACCTCCATGTCACCATCAAAAAACACATTGACGATGTAAGCTGGAGAGTCTTCTGTTTCTCTGATTCATTCTACAAAAGTTTGATTTTATTTTATGTCATTTAGAGTGCAACAGTTTGAAGGAAGAATAAAGTGCTACCTAACTCTATAGTCAAACAGATACTTCAGTGTGCTAAAAGTTGAACACCTCAGACTGTTCTTCTGATGCATCTCATGGCATTAATTTTGTAACTACAGCATTTCCAAACTCTACATTATCATGATCATTGAATGTTTCCTTCATGACAGATTTGTGAAGACCACAAGCCATGTGAAATAGATGCCACTAGAGTGAAGGAAGGAGAAAATCTTCAGATCAACTTGGTAACTATGTCATCCTTTTCCAGCTAGATAGGATCTTTTGTGTGAAGCTGTATAATGTTTTTGCACAATTGCTATTGTCAGTCGTTTTGAATTAATTTTTCTCCCGTCAATACATATAGTAAAAAATGTTTTGAGTCTTTTGACACATTTTTTTTCTCTTTTTAAGGAAAACTTGAGAGTGTACGTTGAGAGAATGTTCAAGTCCATCACAGAGTCTGCGCGGCTGTGTCCCACTATCATGTCAGAAGTCTTCTTCACATTGAAGGAGTCTGCTATTCGCCACTTCCCAGGTAAAATGATTTAAAACTGTAGTTCAGGCATAAATGCCACTTGATGTGTATTCTATGATCTTTTTGATATAGGGCTCAAGATTTATTCTTGGCAATAGCTGTTTTTAGGTTTTACTTAGGTAGGTGCACAAAAAACTGTGTTGGGGGGACAACATAAAATAATATATAATGTCATCAAAATTCAATTACAAAGTTTAACCTAACTGCCTCTTTTCAGAGCTTAAATCTGAAATTCTATACAGGGCTCAAAATTAACTTTTTGACCTAGGAGCACTGTGCTCCTAACCATAAAAAGTTAGGAGCACAGGCTAAAATCTAGGCGCACCAACAAAAAATATTGTATTGCAAAGGTGTTAATATATTAAAAACTAAGCTAGATCATATTTCCTTAAAAAAAAAAATTCTATCAGCATCCTTAATTTTGAAAAAATTGGGCATAGGTTTCCCGGATGACCCCTAACCGGGGGCCAACGGTGCTTCCACAAGTTCAACAAGTGAAAAATACATGATACAAAATGTACATGTATTTACTACCTGGATTTTGGAGCAATTATTCCCAAAGGTGTACCTGACATTGATATATTAAAACCTAAACCAAATCCTATTTCCCAAACAAATCACATATTGACACAGCTGAACAAATAAAAATGTGATCATGTCTATAAACTCCACTCAAAAACAATTTTTGAGAGACACTTGGGTCGCGATACTAAGCATGATAATCTCTAATATCTCATCTGATTCTCCCAATGTATTAGGGACTTCACAATCACAGCATCCAACCGCACTAACACAAGAAACCAATAAATTCGGAAAATTTCTCAGTAATGTTTGAAAATTAACCTTATAAAAATATAAGTGAATTTTTATTTCAGTTGTAGCGTTTAAAGTTTCGTTTTAGCACCTTGTAATATGTACTTAGTACATGTATCTTGTACATTTGGATGCTATCTTGACCTTTGACCTGTTATTGTGAAACACCGTCGGCCATCTTGTCAGTCTCGCCGTAGATTTTCGAGCCGTTTTTTCAAGCAAATTTCAACGGTTTTAAACATTTTACGGCCTCAAAAACTCATATAACGAGGAAAGCAAGTTGTAGTTGTTATTTTCATGCATAACATTTCTTCTGAGGATGGATTATTTTTCCGCTGAGCTGCCGAAAACTAGCGTCATGCCGCGACCATGCGGACAGGTGCGGGCGGCCGGCGGGAGTATCGGTGAGCTTTCACGATGTAAACAAAGACATTCGGAGTTGTTCACATGAAAATTTTGCTGTGAAACGCCAGTGGGGTGTCAGATTTTCTACCAATGACAGCGTTTTCTTTGCGGCGTCATGGCGAGATCGACAATTCATCGTCAATTCACAAGATTGTGCCGACAATGGAATGAATAGGCTAAAATTTTTATTGGCGCACTGTGCGACCGTGATTTCAAATGTAGTCGCACCGTCAAAATTTTGGGCGCATATGCGACCAAATCAGTCGCAGTCACGAGCCCTGCTATAGCTAGATTTTAAACTAGAATAATACAACAAAGGTTTTACTATTTTTCTGCCACTCATCTTTTGCACAGATGTGAATGACGTCAGATACACGGCAGTCAGCGGGTTTGTGTTCCTGAGACTGTTTGCTCCTGCCATCCTGGGGCCCAGGTTGTTCCAGCTACGGGAGGAACACCCAGTAAGACTCGCATGTTCATAATAAAACTGTGTGTGATCTTTTAAGAAAAATTTATTTTTAATTGAAATGTAACTTCTTTAAAATTTCGATGTGTGAATTAAACAATAGTAATTAAAAGTTTTTTGGTAGTGTCATACTTAGTTTTGCATTGTCTAAATGTTTATTCGACATTGTTCAGGACCCCACCACTGCCAGAACTCTGACACTGATTTCCAAGACAATCCAGAGCTTGGGAAACCTGGCCAACTCTTCTTCTGTAAGTAAACAACTCAATACTAGTATGATGTTCAGCTAATTTTTTCTTCAAGATATTTCTGAAATCACATTGTTGCCTTGTATACTTGCCAAGAGGCATTGTCCTGTGAAAGATGTCTACAAAAGTTGCCTTCAGGTCTTCTTGTGTGCTACTTTTTCTTTCTACCAGTGTTTTGATGATAACATGCAGTTTTCATTTGTGGTAAAATTGTTATCAGGTATAGCTTGAGCATTACCGTTACTGCATTACTGTTACTGCCTGGCTAAAAGGATCACAGTGAAGACCGTCAAACCCAGACATGATTTTATTGTTTGGATTTGTTGTGATTTTGACATATTATGTTTTCCAGGTGAGTCCAGGCCTGAAGGAAGCCTACATGTCCAATATCTATGATTGCTTTGCTAAGAAGGAATACTCAGATGCAGTCAAAACAGTAAGTCATTGTTTTAAAATTCTGCAGTAGTCTATTCTTCTTCCAAACTTGTAGGAGCTTGACGTATGTTCTTTTTGATAAAAGTATGAATGAATGGAAATAAAACAGTAAATTTTTTTATTTTCACCAAGCTGCAATTTCTTGCTTTTCAACACGCATTTTGGACTACAAATTGAATGATATATTGTCTTTTCCAGTTCCTGGATGTGATATCCTCCACCGGCCGACCACACTCAAGAAGTATCGACACACCTGTTGTCTTAAAGGAAAGGTGAGAATTGTCTTTGTTACATGATCTGCAACCAATAGCTTCTTCTTAGGATGGGACAGTCATTTTTGTAAAATGATATATATGGATGACAATTACCAATCTTGTGCACACCTTAACTTATATTATCTTGATATCATTGACAGCCTGATGATCAAAAGAGCACAGGGCAGGACGAGGTTTGGGCTGAAGAACTTCAAGAGAAGATGGTTCTGTCTTACCAATAAGGACCTGACGTATGCCAAGTCAAAAGGTGTGTGTGTGTGTGTGTGCTTTGTTTCCTGACATGTATGAGTAACTTGGAAAAAAAAAAATCTATCTACTTTTGAAAGGGAGAAGCAAATGTGTTACTGTTAGTCTGATATGCATCAGCATGGATTTATGTCATTTATGATATGATATATGACTCAAGAAAAAACGTTTATCTAACAATGAAAGAGAGTAACAGATTTTTTAATGTCAATCTGATATAGCATAGATTTACTGGTAAACCAAATAGATTTGGATAATTTCTACTTGTATTCAAGTTGTCTTAAAATTTATGTTAAAAAAATGCTGCCTGACTTTGCTTTACTTTTTTGTTGGGAAATGTTATTTTTTGTTAGCTGCTATATCATGTTTATATAACAGTGTCCATATTGTGTTTGCAATGTGTGTAAAGCTAAAAACTTTGAAACAGATGTTTATTTTTCCTTTTGCTGGAACCTTCTGCACTATATATGCTGTTATCAGTTCTCGCTGTCTTCCTATCCTTTGATTTTGCTAGTTAATTTCCCTTTCAGAGCTGGAGAGAAATCTGGGCACAGCTTACCGCCTGAGGCGAACAGGCTGCACTAGAATCCTGCTGGGTATGGGACACAACTGTCAGCAGTTACACTGTACATCATAGCCAAACAGCCCCTAATACTAGTGATAGCATGTCAGCAGAACGCACTGCACCTTTACAAAACCAAGGACTTTATTGGATGTTTTGTCAACGTTGTATCTCAACAATAGAATATTTCTCAACACAACATTTGAAAACTACAGACAGGATGTCCACAATCTAATTATTGGTACGTTTTGTAGAAGTGCTATGTACATTACGTACCAGATGTCATGAAGGTGCAGTTCGTTCTGCTGACATGCTCCAAATGTTACACCAATTTGCTTGTTTCTTGGACTCTGCAGCAGACACGCTCACTTAATCAGTTAATGGGTGAAAAGCAAATCTATACTTTGGCATAAAGAGTCTTATTTGTTCCTTTTTTGGCTTTGACTCAAAATAACTTAATTGCACAACAGTTGTACAGGGCATGAAAATATAAAGTGTAGGTGACCCTGTATTTTTTATGTCTGGAAAGTTTGTATTCTGTACCTAAAACACCAACATCTCTTCTTGCAAGATTATAATATTTTATTATTTATATTGTCCCAACAGATTTTTGCTAACAGGTATCCAAGAAACAACTGATTAAATTTGTGTAACATAGCTAACACTATCATCACACCCCACCCCACCCCATCTAAAGGAGTCTGTGTAATGGTAGGCCACCAATGCTAACCCCACTGTTAGACTTTACAGGAATGTGCATGGTGTCACAGATTTCACATGATAGAACTCACCTAATGCCATGTTAAACTTCACAGGGATGTGCATGCTGTCAACAGGTCTGCATTTAAATGCTGTTCCTCAACCTATTTAACATTGGTCAACACAAACTTGGAAAAACTCTGGGAATTTCAAAGTATAAAATGTTACACATACTTTACATGTATCATTTTACAAAAATTTTGTGCTGAGTGGACTTTCAGCTGACTTTCAAAACATTGCTGTATGTTCAGCAGTAGTGTATGAAAAAAAATAAGGCTTTAATTCAGTGACACTTACATGTAGAAAGTTCCCAGTGTCTTTTCAAAGTTCATTGTTAACTGTACACTGATGTCTGTGGGAAGACCTCACTGACATGTACTTGGTCCATGGATGTCGTCTTCTAACTGTAATGTGATTTAACCTTGCACACTAGACAGGTACATTATATATTGTGTAATCACCAGCATGTTTAATGCACAAACTCTCCCCCTCACAGCCTCCACTTCTAATCAAAATACAGTCTCTAACTCACTAATCAGATCTATAAAAAGCCAAACTGAGTCTGAAGAGGGTTTGACTTGTTTTCTTGTTTCCAGGGGAGCCACCTCTGTGTAAGATACCTGTGGAAGACATCCTTGCAGTGGAGGGTTTACAGGAAGAGTCCTTCAAGATGAAAAATGTAGGTGTTGTTACTATTAAATGAAAGAAGGATTGATTGATTGATTGATTGATTCACAAGTCATAATCATTCTGGTTACACATTCTTTTACATAACTATACACATCAAGATTCAATTGTCTGCCGTACTAACTACACAAATAAAGATACAAAACTCATGCAGCCAGTGAATTTTCTACTTAAGGCCACACCAATTTAATTTGTTGGTTCTCGGATTCGCCTCTTCGTTTTTTTTCTGATTTGCAAAAAAAAAAAATTTGATTCTGGTTCTGAATCAACTGAAAAATGCTCATGTTTTGCCCCCAACAGTTGAGGAAAGTCCTTTTCTTCCTAGTTGTTACAGTTTTCCCATCCATCATTGCAGTGGTTTGATTAAAAGTTCAAAATTCAATGTTTAAATTTTAACCCAGCCTTTTGTGTTGACTTCATGGCTCATTTCGTAGCATTTAAGCCTATAATAGGATGCCTAGACCTGTTTTTATTTTTATTTTTTTTCGCCCTGTCGCTTCATATTTTTTCTGAAAAAATCCGAGAACCAACAAATTAAATTGGTGTGGCCTAAGGTTGATTGTTTTCCTGCAATTCTATGTTGGAATGTTAGCTAAATGTTTGAATGTATGAAAAAAGGTTGTGTGATGTTTGTAGGATTAGAAATTTTACTTTTCTGGTTTATATCATCTAATATTCTATCCTGCAAGAGAAACAGTAAAGAAATCGTATTATTCAAGTCTTGCATCATCAAGTCACTGCTTGCATAGTTGTGAATTCTATATTTTTCTCTGCAGATGTTCCAAGTAGTGCAACCTCAGCGAGCCTTGTACATCCAGGCCAACAACTGTGTAGAAGCCAAAGAATGGTACAAAGACCGTTTTAACTTATTTTCTGTTTTAATTCCATACACTTACATGATTTAGACAGTGATCCACTGTACTACATTAATTTTGTTGTGAAAAAGGAATTTTCCCAGTATGTTGACCAATAAATTTTTATCTGTTGTCTTTCCTTTTATGACTAGTGGAATTGGAATAAGACAAGCTAATCTTGGTAACCTTATACCGAATTGATCATATGTATAATATTTCATTTAACAGGATTGACATTTTGAACAAAGTGAGCCAGTGTAACAAAAAAAGGTTGAAGACCTACCACCCCGCTGCCTATGTCAACTGTCACTGGTTATGGTAAGACTAAGTGTTTTCTATTGTTTTGCATATTCCTGTTCAAATCTAAAAAAAAAGACATTTAGTTCAATACCTCAAGTGCCAGTCTTTGAAGACTTTGAATTGATATTTATAGATCACTCCTATTATTTATTTTTGGTTACATGTGTGTTGTTGACTTACATGTGAGGCTTTTTATTCCTCAAAACAGTTGCAAAGAAGGAAACGAAAATGCAACAGGCTGCACTCCTGTTACTGGGTAAGTATCTTGGACAATTTTAAGGCTATATACCATGAATCCCACTCACATTCTGTAGAAATTAGCTTTACAGTAAGCTAAAACTGTACTATGAGATGTGCATTTTACAATGCCTTTTCATTTCAATTTGTTGTTAAGATAAGACATCAATAGAGTGGCCACTCAATGAATGTGTGGACCAAGCTGTAGACTTTTTGCCAAAACTGTTTTTTTTTATGTGATTTTAGTTCAGCATTAACAAATTCAAAGCTTTTTATCTTAATATCATCAATATAATTTTCTTCCCCTCTTCCACATGCAGGGGTGTACCTGCAGATATCAAGTTGGACATTGACTCAGACAGAGAAATGGAGAGGATACACTCATTCTTTCTTACTCACAGGGACCGCTTGGAGAAACTGGAAGGTAGGCAAACTACTCTGCACTTTTAAAGATTTTTTATAAGTATTTCTGATGTTGTAAAAGTTGATACATGTACAGTTGTGCAGATGACATTTTGCTGATCAAAGGAGTATTTGGTACTGATGTGCAAGTAATGTTGTTCAACAGTAATGAAAATAGATTAATTGTGAATGGAATTGCAGTGCCAAATGAAAGAGGAAAAGAAAATCTACTTTTTAAGCCTTTTAATTTAGCTTTTTGCATTTACAATACACATCCTGACTGTCAGTTGGAAGAGCATATTCTCCTCTTTACTGTGTTATCTTCATTTTTGTCAGAAGTTTTTTTTTAGTAAAAACTGTAACAGTTATTTGAGTCTTGCTTAGTTCAATAGTATTATGACCAGGCAGTGCCAAACGCATAATTATTCTGTACACTTGAGTGAAAGATTGCTGCTTAATCCATGATTTTCTTTCCTCCCTCTTGGCCTATTTTGCTCCATGGCTGGACCGTACAGTGTACCTCTATGGTAGGAGGCAGTTGAGTTTGATTTTGGCATGCCGTGAACCCTACCCTGTACTAGGTGTACTAACCACTGCTACAAAATCTCACCATAGTCAACTTATTTATGATTTGACTTTCTAACAGTTTCACTTATGTTTTTTTTTTCATTGTATTATTATAAATATATGTAAAATTGGTTAACTTATCATCTAAACAGACCCATAATGGAAAGTGTCTAAAACTTCCAAACTCCTAACTAATGAAAACTAAAAAATTAACATGATAAAAATGCACCATCATTTGAGTAAAATTCAGCTTACTTTTATTGTATCATATTGCCAGTGTGTTGTTAGTGGTCTTGCTGGCAGTTTGTACTTTCTTTAATTGTTGGTCTGAGTTTTAAGTTCTTGCTCTTGTTTTCTGAAACATCTGCCAACCTCCAGCTATGAGACATGTAACTACATGTGTGACTGCTGTTTGCACCGTGTGGTTTACTAATACTTGTGTTGTGCCATTCTCCATAAAAATAAATGATGTTTGTGTGGTGTGTTTCATGTGCTGTATCCCTTTACATGTAACTTGTACAGCAAATACATAAGCTCGGAGTAGTGCTGCATACCTAAACCCACATTTAGGTTCAGGTCCGGATTCAAGTCCAGAGGTTTAGGTTCAGTTCCGGACTTGTAAGTCCGGACCTAAACCCATGGCATATACAAAATTGCATGTTCGCAACCTTGCAATGTTGCCTGGGTGAAACTTTGGCCACATAACATGGAGGCCGGTACTTGACGATGCCCAATGGCAATGTTTTCTTCCTTTTGCAGCAAAGATTTTTCAATCTATGGAAGGTTTTAGGTGGTTTGGAAAGAAAAGGGGTATGTGAAATGGTCTTTTATGGTAATAAGTCCGGACTCTGTTCTTGACTTTTAGTTTTTTTTGGACTTGAACCTAAACATTCTTACAAGTCCGGATCCAAGTCCAGTGAACCGGTATGCAGCACTAGCTCGGAGTTCCCTGCAGTTCATGGTGTTGTGTATAACATACTGTGTGTCCATTTCATTGCAGTGCTGACGCTGTCAATCCACTTTTGCTCACTGTCAGTTCCACATTCAGTGGCAGCTATGCTTAAAGCCTGAATTTAAAAGCTTATAATTTTTCACAAAGAATGACTCCCTGAAATTGTACCTTACTTGTTGCTTCATTTTCTATTGACATGTAGTCCTCCACGCGCTGTGTACATTTCATGTTACTGAATTTTCAAATGACATGCCATCAAGATAACAGCATATATGTAGCTTTATAACCTTGCTGCTGACTTCTGATGTAACTAAAATTTTGAGCATTAACAGTAGGTGAAGCTATGTGCCACATCTGATGTACATGTATTGTGAAACAGCCATTGCTTGCGTCATTGCTATTCCATGAAGAATACTGTATGCATAACTAGGTCTTAATGTTAAAATGGAAAGGAAATTCAGTGAATGGAAGCTAGTATTTCTGAAACGTGTACAATCACACATCATTGCACAAGGTCAATTTGTTCATGAAAGGCTGTAATTTGTAGACAGCAAAGCAAAATTGGTAATGATTTAAGAAACATGTTTTTTTTTAAAACTTTAATCAAAAACTTTGCATTACATCCAACTGTTTATCATTCCCTCCATTGGGAAGATTCCTTGCATTTTGTTTCAGAAATAAGAAAAATGAGTCCAAAATCCAGAACGTATAATAAGTATCAAGCTACTAACATCAGAATTTCCACCAAGCTTTAAAGTTTATACGTATAACAAATAAAGCTGCTCTCACTTTGACAAATCCATCTGTGTAGCTACAGACTGACTCTGTCTCCCTTCCAGACATGTGTGGAGAAGAAGCAGTGTACAGTGGCACCCCTTCCACCCCCCGAACCACCACATACGTCATAGAGGACCCCAAAACATGCTTCGAGACACTTAGATGTATTATGGACTGTATTATCAAGCTGGAACAGGAACACATCGAGTACTACAAGGCACTGGCCAAGAGCACCAAATATGGCAGCGAGTAAGTCACTGGTTGCTTGATTGGTTGGTTGGTTTGTTGGTTTGTTTGTTGGTTGGTTGGTTGGTTGGTTGGATGGATGGATGGATGGATGGATGGATGGATGGATGGATGGATGGATGGATGGATGGTTGGATGGATGGATGGATGGATGGATGCTTGGTTTGTTGGTTGGATAGATGGTTGGATGGATGCTTGGTTGGATGAATGGTTGGTTGATTCCTTGATTGCTTGGTTGATTAACTGATTGATTAACTGATTGATTGACTGATTGATTGACTGATTGATTGATTGATTGAAAAATCTGCAGTTGGATTGGTATTATGTAAACATTTTTGTAATCAAATTATGGCAATGTAGCTTCGGCTAATTTGAGTTTTTAATGAATAGACAAAGTCTCAAACAAACAAACATGTTAACTCTTCTCTTTATGACTTCCAGACAAAAACCAATAGGAGGGGATGGAGTGAAACCCAACGAACTGGAAGATTCCATGGAGGGGGAAGAGGGGGGCAGCAATATGTGAACATCTACATGTATATACATTGTAACAGGCCCAGGAGAACAAATATAAGGAAAACAGCACCAGCAACGCAGCATGTTGTTAGATGTATCGCAAGGACCTTTGAATAGGACAGTCTTTGGTTTGTATTATACTTTTTATCACAGGACATACCTTCAGAGGATGTTGCCATTGTGTAATTTTGTAGATGCTATGTTTCAAAACCACTAGTACGTAATATGTACCTCCTGGTAAATTTTCAAGTGTCGAAATCATTTTCTGATACCATTTGCTTTTCTTTGAATCATGACCATTTTTGCTGGTAGGAATAATGCCTTTTTTTCACTTTTTAAAGAAATTTGATAACTCAATGATGGCAGAAAAAGTATTAGTGCAACGCAAGGATCATTTCACAGCAATATATTGCACAAATGTTAAGTACAATCAGTTTAACTTTTAGTATTTACCAATGAGATTCATTTGACATGACCTGAAAAATCACCAGACAAAATGACCTGCTATCTGTTGATATGATTTTGTCTACACTGACAGTAATGTACGATTTTTCAAAATTATTTTGATAAAGCACAGTAAGATTATGTAATAGTGCAATGAGATCAGAAGTTTTTGCATTTAATTTTTAATCAGTTTTGAGCCATATTCTAGTAAATCAACACTGGAGAAAATAATGTGTACTTAAGGTAAAGACAGTAAGAAACATTGTCTATTAATAAGTAGTACTATTCTCTTTGTGAAAGCGCCATCAGTAATGCTGTACACTATAATTATAAGTTTCAGTGCTCAAGCTTATGAGGCAGATAACTTGATCATGTAACAGAATCTAGTGCATTTGTGTTTTGGTTGACACCAAATTTCATCATGGAAAATTTTAAAGATTTTATTCAAATTGTAAGGTTTTAGCAATGATTGTACATATCAATGATTATTTTGTTAATAGGCAAAAATCAGGGCTTACTTAAGCATGAGTGCCACATATTTCTTACCGACTTACTTAAGGTTCATTTTACTGTGAAAAAACTACTTCATTACTTAAGGGTACCCCTTGAAGATAGGAAGACTACTACAGTTCAACTTGTACAGCTATTAAATTGTCTTTACTTCATTGATAACGTGTTCCACTTATAACAGTTACTGTTTGTTGTATCTTATTAGTACAGAAGTGAAATTGTGCAACAAAAAATGATGCAAAGGGTAAACGATCAACAACATTCTTTCTAAACAACAAACTTGTACATATTGTGTAAATATAGAGATATCTGCATTTGTGCATGTAAAGTTGTAGATAGAAATCCTTGTATGACGCCATATGTGAAATGGATGGAACATTTTGTGATATGTTGATGTAAGGTAGAGAGATTTTTCTTTTGCAATTGTAATGTGTTACTCATGAGATGTTGATTATATGAAAAAAAAGGAATCTTTTGATCTGCACTACCTTTTTTTGTCTACTTGGCCGTAACTTTAATACTGTTGAAACTTAATGCAAAAATGGGTGAAAGGTTAAATGGTATGTTGATGAAGGTTAGACATCAATGTATAAAGTAAGATACCAAAGTAATAGTTTCTCAGGCAACTGGACAGATTTTTAAAATGGTCAGACGTTTCAGGTAGCATCCACGACATTTCTTCAATGACTCATTCACGTATCAATGAATAGTTTTAGGATGAATACCTGCATGTTGACTACAGATTTGTCAGTGTGTTGCTGACTTAAGGTATTTAATATGCTACATGCACACCTGAAATGTATGACCATTTTTAAAGTCTATCAAGTTGATTGCACAACAGTTACTTATGCATTATAGGACAGTAGATTTCAATAGAGCTATAAAAATGGGTTAGAGGGTCACTATTGGTCATATTATGAATGATGACCTTTCACCCCAAAACAACCTGTTTTGATACTCCTCTGAGGCGTTGCCCAAAACAAAACATAATGGCAAGTGGCTAATGAGTTTAAAGCTGTCTGATTTTACGAATAACAACAAGCTTTAAGTCTTTCTTGTGTTAAAGACCCTCAGAAGACATTCTTTTACAAGTACTGCTAAGAGTTTGTCGTTTTCCAAACGAGTTTTCTTAGGCCAGGATTTGTTGTAATCAACCGCCGTACCCTACTCACGTGACCAATACTTCTACTATACAAACATGGCCGCCGACGTCTAAGTCTCCCGTCTCAAACCAGGTGAGGTCCTGCTTTGTTTACGGCGATTTTCTTACTTTATCTTAACGACAGAAGTTTTACTAAGACATGTTGTTGCTAAAGACTGCCATATAAACAGAGAAATATTTACATTAAACGGATAGTTTTGACGAAACGTAAACATTCTCTGTATTAAGACCTGTGCTGTACCACGGTGGTAAGTTGTAACACAATATCAGAGTAGGTCTACTTTAACTCGCTCTTTGTTCCAAACCTAGACAGACATAACGTACAGTCACACTTTGTCTCGCCTTACAATGTGTCTGACATTTAGTGACTTCTTTAAAACGTCTTTTGGTTCTCCTTTCCCTAAACTGTGCTGAGTTGACTGGCTCGTCTTAAAGTTGTGTATATCTGCGTTAGTACCCTATTCCCGAGCCTTACCTACACCAAATCGTTATTCCTTAATCATAAGATCAATGCTGGCTACTTCCCCCTTTTCAAAGTGCTGCTATCTCGTCAACATTTCATCATGTACAAATGTGCCGTCGACAAAATACAGAAAACTTATTCTGATGAAAAATTGACTAGTATAACACCGTTATATTACAACTGTGGCTTTCATAAATCAATCTAATGCCATCTAACTTTGTTTCTCAGTGCTCAGAGACTACATCAAAAGTAAAGATGGCAGCTGCTAGACGCAGACATCTCAACTCGGAACTGGACTCGAACTTCGGCACACCTGAGCAAGAAGAAGAGGATGACGAGGAACGTTACTACACCAACGAGAACCACGGATCCTCCCTGACCAAGGGACTGATGCAGCTCTACAAAAACGGGCAACTTTGCGACGTGACGCTGGACGTACAGGGACAGAGATTCCCCTGCCATCGTAACGTCCTGGCCGCTTCCGTGCCGTACTTCTATGCAATGTTCACGTCTGGGTTAAGAGAGACAAACCAGGGGGACGTACCTCTCCATGGAGTGACTGCACCAGCTATAGCACACATCCTGGAGTATGTGTACTCAGGGAAGGTGTGTTTATCTACTGCTAATACATTAGACATTCTGAGCGCAGCAAATCTGTTCCAAATGCCGGAACTTTGCCATGCCTGTTGCCTGTATATTTCACAGCATCTCACCACGGAGTCGTGTCTGGACGTGTTCATACTGGCGAAGCTGTACGAATATACTGATCTTCGAGACAGTGCCTTGATATTTATCGGGGAGTATTTCTTAGATATTTCCAGCTCTGATAGTTTCTTGTCTCTCCCCACTAAAGCCGTTGTGGACATACTCAGCTCTAATGGTCTGTGGGTCTTACAAGAGGAGCAGGTACTCGAGGCTGCCTTAAGGTGGCTTAAACACCTTAAGGAAAGAGAAGACGTCGCATTTGAAGTCCTTAAGAACATTAGATATCCTCTTTTGCAGCCAGAGTTTCTTGCTAACCTGGTGCAGAGTGAGGAAATATTCTATAGTTCAACAGAACTAGAACGGATAGTCAAGACTATACTTCGTAGCCGTGAAAACCACGCCGATGCTATTCCAATGGTCTGTTACCATGGCGACGATGACGTCATGCCGAACGCTACCCCCCGCGAAGGCATGCAGGACAGGGAGATGATAGTGTTCGTGGGTTCCGACCACGTTCCGCATAACTGTTTCGAGCCCGAAGACCGCCGTGCGTACGCCATTTCCCCGCCCCCGGCCGCTGAGACATCGCACCCGGCCTGCGTGTCAACCTCAGACGGGGTGATATTCTGGGGAGGCGGCGTGTCTGGCTATACTGACGTCCGCAGTGAAATGTTCAGGTACAACCCCGACACAAACCGTTGGGACAGCTGCGCTCACATGCAAACTCCCAGACAGTGTTTCTCTCTGTCAGAGGTTGGCGGGAAACTCTATGCCTCAGGTGGGTTGGGGCCGTACAGTCCGGAACTCCGCGCCTGTAAGGTGTTAAACACCGTGGAATGTTACGACATCGCGCGCGATTCGTGGACGTTCGTCGCCTCGATGCCTAAGACCGTCTCGGACCACAGTTCGGTGTCTCTCGCCGGAGTTGTGTGTGTTCTAGGCGGTGAGATACCCGGCGCGGGAAGCACGAACGCCGTGATGGCCTACAGTCCCGACAACGACGCCTGGCGAGAGTGGCCGCCCATGTACGAGCGGCGCCAGCTTCCTTGTTCAACCGTAATAAACAACCGCATCTACGTAGCGGGAGGATACCTTCATCTTTACAAGGGCCTCTCTTCTATCGAAGTTTTCAACCCTGACGTTCAGCAATGGCATATCATCCGAGGGGAAGAAAATCCCATCGCTCAACACATCGACGGCATTCTGACCGTCAACGATCACATCTACCTGTGTGCAGACCGTAGAGTCACGGGCCGTAGAGAGTTCACCAACATCTACCTGTACAGCTACAACGTTTTCGACAAGGTGCTGGTGGTTGAAAAAGGAGAGTTGGAGAGAGACATACAGAGGAGCTCATCGATAGCAGTCAACGCAATGTTGAACCCTCTAAAGCTGAAACTGTTTGCGCGAAACCAAACTCAACTCTAACAACACATGAAAACAAGCACCTGTTACCGAGATGACTTAAGCTAGAATGTGGTATGGATTTGCATCAAATGCTACCAGTGTACGTTCATTCAAAATCAGTAGCCATGAACATTGTGACCTAAGCACCTGACAATGTAAACAGTAGAGAAGATTTTTCGGATAACAAGACAGAGTCTATAAACTGTATTTATACATTTATTGGTGGATATTCCTACATTTTGTCGTAGAGTAATACAGATGTTGCACACAGCTGACGCGCTACGTAGAAGACGTTAGTATAGAGTTAGATTTCGTCCTTGTCCAATTCAGTATAGTAAAGTAGGCTTCAGCATACTAGCAATAACAGCAAAATCAGATCAAACTGCAAGCTAGAGATGAAAGGTATATGATCTGTTGGTAAGACGGCTCTGTTCTGTTTGAATCTAAGCATTGGTGACGTGTTAAGAATGTCGGCTCAACTGTGTATTGTGTTATTCTACTTTAACGAGTCTGCCATGAGCACGACGCACAACATACTTTCCAGGTCACCTATATGGCATTATATGAATGATTATTTACATTCTAGTTTCTGTAAGAATACAACAGTACAAGATATCTTTCAAAGTTAATCATATTGTTCAAATATATATGGTACGGATACATGTACACAGAAATATGTAGATTTTTGCTATGCTCGTATAATGGTCAATTTAGAATTAAATCTTTAGTTTGTGAATTGGTTTATTGAATTCTTGGATTTTTCGTCCATCATAAGTACTGTGGTGGAATTAGCATGAAAGTTAATCTGAGTTGGTGAAAATTGTGAAAATTATTATCACACTTTCGACAAGTAATGTAACGTTATGTATTGCCAGTCTTCAAACTGAAAGATATGAAAACGTCTATCAGAAACCAACACGTGTGTATTGGAACACCCTTATCATGTATGTGCATGCAACTGACATCATACGCCTGCTGCCAACCACGCAATCGTGACGCCCCAAAATAAGAATGTACGACAAAATGTTCGACTGACATATGTATAATAATCCCAATGACGATATGATATATCTGATATTGATCAAAATAACGTAATACGTGCTGTTTGGGCGCTAATATACATGTATGTGCGTCACGCATAGCATTTTTGTATTGGAACGTAAACACGATTGGCATATATAATGAGTTTGCATTACGTTTCATGTAAATGTCAGATAGGTTCTGCATTTACTCATCAGTTGTGTGATTAGTCTAGTGCTGTTATAACACAGTGAACACGCACTCTGAGAGTCATATTCGTTGCGGACAGCTAGTACTAAACACGTGAAAGTAAACACTGTCAGCATGAGGGCAGCGGTTGGTGCCGCTTCTGGTGACCACATGCACAAAGCTGCTGCTTCGGTCAATTCTGGAGCTTCGGTCAGTTCTGGGGCTTCGGTCAGTTCTGGGGCTTCGGTCAGCTCTGGGGCTTCGGCCAGCTCTGGGGCTTCGGCCAGCTCTCATGTTTCGGCCAGTTCGTATCAGCACACGTATTTGGAGCTCGGCGAAGATGGGCCTAAAGTTATCCGTACATACCGCGCGGGAGACCACGTAGTGTCGTTCCCGGACAACAAGACGGAGTCATGCTACGATACCAACGACAAACCAGAAGATTCCGACGATTACGAGAAACCCGAGGAAGTAAGCTGTTGTTACAAAATTAAAGGTACGTCTAGTTGCAAAAACTTTGGATCAAATATGAAACCACAGTGAGTGTCCAAAAGAAGATAAATTACCGTTCCTGATGAGGTGCAGGATTCTGGAAAGTATCAATGCATGCATTGCATAAATATGATTTCTGAAAGCAAGCTTAGGACATTCTACAAGTGAAACGTCCTTGCTGAAAGTAGTTAGGGACGATTCATTTTCTATCCTGGCTTTGCAAGATTGGAAAACGACAGGGTATACGTATCTTAAGTTGATTCCTCGTATTTTGTAATTTTACAACACGAAGCACTAATATTACAAAACTGCATGTAATAGCCCAGGGCTCATAGTATAAAACATTGATGCCGTTTCACATGAATATTGAATGGAACCAGATTGACTTTTGGTGAGCATACTGATGATTGTTATTCATTTATTTATTTATTACAATTTTCCACATACATGGAAGGCATGGTGGAACAGGTGGACCTAAGTACACCTTTTCAAGGCCACCATGCCGACAAATAAATAGACAGGGTCATACGAATATATAAGAATACAATACTGTGTTATATACATGACATTATATTTTAACACAATATTTCGAGAGATTTTAATTTTAATTTTAAAAATCATTTTCACTTTGTAAATTAAATCCTAGAACGTACCATGAAAATGTGGACGAGGATGAAATCTGACAAAGTTTGCTGGCTGGCACTGGGCTGTGGACTCCTGGCGATAACGGCAGTTGTGACCGCTGGAATCGTGGCATCTAGACTAATGGCCGCCATGAAGGTGAGCCAACAAGTCTTCTTTTGATTAGCAAGTTAGAAAGAAATATCCCATCCATTATTTGTTGTCGTCTATTTACATGACATACAACTCACCATGCAACATCTGCATTAAAGCAATACGTATATTTGTAGGAGAAACAGGGTCAAGATGACGTCCAGATGGTGGCAAATCTAAGCACGTCAGCTACTCTGAAGTTGATTACCTCTTACATGGAGTCCGTTGCCAATTCATCTGCTGTGACCTTGCCACCACCATCTGCTGTGACCTTGCCACCATCTGCTGTGACCTTGCCACCACCATCTTCTGTGACCTTGCCACCATCTGCTGTGACCTTGCCACCATCGGCTGTGACGTTACCTAAAACTTCTGTGATCTTGCTACGATATGCTGTGACCTTGCCACCATTTTCTGTGACCTTGCCACCACCATCGGCTGTGACCTTGCCACCATCTGCTGTGACCTTGCCACCATCTGCTGTGACCTTACTACCATCTGCTATGACCTTGCCACCATCTGCTGTGACCTTGCCCCCACCATCTGCTGTGACCTTGCCACCATCTGCTGTGACCTTGCCACCACCATCGGCTGTGACCTTGCCACCATCTGCTGTGACCTTGCCACCATCTGCTGTGACCTTACTACCATCTGCTATGACCTTGCCACCATCTGCTGTGACCTTGCCTCCACCATCTGCTGTGACCTTGCCTCCACCATCTGCTGTGACCTTGCCACCATCTGCTGTGACCTTGCCACCATCTGCTGTGACCTTGCCACCCATCGCCGCGCACGTGATGACCAGTGGTAGGTGAATGGCATCACTTCCTTGTCAAAATTACGGACGTAATAAACGTCACGCTTTGGGGTCTATACGTCACGTTTTTGGGGTCAATACGTCACGTATGCCAGGAAAACGTCACGGATACATTACCTACATGGGATTCTACGTTACGTACATGTGTCAAAATTACGAACGTGAAAAACGTCACACTACATTGTATCCTCCATAATTCTGACCTGCCTTCCGCTACTCTCATGGCTATAAAGCTCAGTCCGGTCCACTCTTTTATGTTGTCTTCCCACCACTTTCTCAGTTTATACAGAAACAGTCACCGCCTGCGAGTATTACACCCTACATCTGTCTTGCTCGGACGGAAAGGCGCTCTTCATTTTGGAGGCGACCTATGGCAGGACGTCCGCCTCCCACTCCTGTCCTTGCGGCTCCAACTGTCGCACCGACTGCCGTACGTATACGTCCAGCCTGACCGTGGTGAAGGCCGCCTGCCATGGCTTTCAGCATTGCACAGTGACAGCGAGGAGCGACGTATTCGGTGACCCCTGTCCCCATGTCAACAAGTACCTGGAGGTATCATACCGCTGTATCACAGGTGAGCACAGGGAATTCTGTATCTGTATCGGTATAGCCGGTATAACCGCCCTTCGGCGTAACACACCAGCTTCGCAGGCACGCGGCGCGGCGGCAGCTGGCTACATTATACCGAACGACGTGTTACACCTAACCCTTGTCGTGTGAACATCTAACTCTCGGTTGGCTGATACCCTCTACTTGTTTTGTAATTAAGCTGGTTTGCGAGGGGGCCGGTTTAATTAAGCATTAGTAAAAACTTCGAATGAAATACAAATAACATAGAAATACTTAACATTTGTGACAAAATCATTATTCTAACGTGGAAAGCCGAGTGATAACTGAATAATACATACTAACTGAATAACCAAAACAAATCACAATCCTTTGTCATATTTTTTCACAGGCCCACCCTGTCCAAGCCCATGGAAAGAACATAACAACTACTGCTATCTCTTCATGATGGAAAAAGTCAACTGGGATACTGCATATCTACGATGCAGTCTAAAAGGTGCAAATCTCGCCTCTGTCAAGGACGGCAGAGAGAACAGCTTCATCGAAGGTCTCATCTCTACAGGTGGGTAACGTACTACTGTTTCGCCACAATCGAGAGGGTCTCATGTACTAGTTACATTAAAAGTTAAAGTCCTTCCCGCACCACATGGTGCATAGGGCGGCGCCCATCTCCGCTTCAGTAGCCCTTGTGCCACACAATTGCGCAATCACTACAGTAGGGGGCTAGTCCACTGGTAGTGGTGTGTGTTTAACTCCCATAGTCTTTCCCAACTGCTGAGTGCTAAGCAGAGAAAGCATGTATGTACCTTTTTTTAACGTTTTTGGTATGACTCGGCCGGGGATCGAACTCACGACCTACCAAATGCAAGGCGATCACTCTACCAGCTTGGCACCGATGTACTAGTATCACTTCACAAAATGTGGGACTAAACAATGGTGATAAACTGTTTGGAATAGTTATGTTTACCTTCGCAGAAGAAAACATATTGTTTTTGGCCTGTTTCTTCCTGTTCTTCCTCTTCTCTCCAAACAAATAAGGTCAATGACCTGGACCAGGCGCCTGTCATTAGGCCACACCAAGTAAATTTTATGGATGACGTCCGCGCGCGCATTGATTTTGGCCTGTTCCTAGAAAAAAAAAACACAAGAAATTCCGCTTCCTGTAACTATGACCAAAGAGTCACAACAGTGCCGCAAATCGTTAGATTGACGTGAAACCCGTAACGCGAAATGGGTAAAGAGCACATGCCTTGTTTCTGCAGGCCTGCAAAAATGTGATGAAAGAAACAGGACAGGACGACAACTGCTGTTCCACCTGATTTATTGCTGTTTTGATGATGACCTCTTGCTTGTTGCACTGTGTCACCTCATTCAATTTGTGTCCTAACATTTGTCGTCTCTTAGTATATTTCTAATCTAGGCATCTTGTTTTTTAGGGCCTATCTTGTTTTTTTTCGCCCTCTCGCATTAGATTTAGGGTCTCCAAAGGACGCCATCCATAAAATTTACTTGGTGTGGCCTTATGGTAACTAGCATTGTAGCAGACAGCCTGTGGTGTTGGGTTACATTTTGTACAAACCTGGAGGGGCAGCTCACCACATATTGTATATGAATGTGTTTGGGCAACAATAAATAGAGCAGTAGTTTGTTTGGCTAGACCAATTGTGAAGGTAAACATTATGCATTTGCTTTGCAAATGTTACCTTAGTTTCTAGTTGCTTTGATCGCATTTCATGATTTGAGCAACCATTATCAGACTTAATTGTCGTGTGCTGCTGTTTCTTCATGCAACCGTCCCACTACAATTCTGGTACCCAAATAACATCGCCAGGCGGCACTCTTCATTATCTGCCATTACATTTAAACCTGTCTGTCATGAACACACGAGATACTTGAAAAAAAAAAAACGACCACACTAGATAGACATGTGCGTGGATACTATAGACAGAATTCTTGATGCTTTGGTGACTTGGGCAATGTTAAAGGGATGTATGGAACCGTTAAAAAGTGATCACAATGATCAGGTATGTTGTGCTAGTGTGTTCACTACAAATATATTTTTTCAGCCCCCAAAGGATGGGAAGCCGCCTGGCTTGGACTCAGGGACATGCACAAACACAAAGGTGGTCTGCTTAAGTGGAAGGATGGATCGCCAGTTTACTACACTAACTGGGCTCCAGGCGAACCAAACAACGACTACATACCGGTGGTTGGCCGTCGAGAGGATTGTGCCGCTATGTACTCCGAGGTATGTCTTCATAGCTACCCTAGTCAAGAAGGTTTTTCATTGTGTGTGTGTGTGTGTGTGTGTGTGTGTGTGTGTGTGTATGTGTGTGTGTGTGTGTGTGTGTGTGTGTGTGCATGTATGTGTGTGTGTGTGCGTGTGTGTGTGTGTGTGTGTGTGTGTGTGTGTTTGTGTGCGTGTGTGTGTGTGTGTGTGTGTGCGTGTGTGTGTGCGTGTGTGTGTGCGTGTGTGTGCGCGCATGTGTTCGTGTATGAGTGTATGTGTGCTTGCACATGGGTGTGAATATATTGTGTGTATGATTATGTCAGTGTATGGAAAACCTTTACTATAACCTTCAGTCATAATGAAGGTCGTGGAATTTTAGTTTATTTCTTTATTGATTTTGGGATGACCTATTAAAAAATTTTTCAGGTTAGGCATTGTGTTTTGATAACTTTGTGGTATGTGACCTTTCAACAGAACTACAGGTACTGGTTTTTCTGCCAGGAGAGGAAGAGAGGAAAGTGGAACGACTTTCAGTGCGATTTCCGCTGTCCGTACGTTTGCAAGCGCCCAATATAACTTTAGTACAGGGGAAACAAAAGAAGGCGCGTAGAGGAGTAGGATCCGGAATGGATAGAATCGCCTGTTACGAGTACATCTTCAGAGCACATGTAGAAATACATGTACATACAGCATGTACCCGCGACCAAGCCGGCTCTAGCATAGCACCGTAGTTGTTTTGTTGATTTCACTTGTTTATTTGCACACGATATCATAAAAAAGAGACAAAAAGACAGAAACAGAATCGTGATGTTAGGAGGAAAGAAACAAAGCTTGTCCTGCGTCCTGCACACAATTTAAAATAACCTCAGTATACATGAATAACTAATAACGTTATAACATTAACATGGTAGTGCGAAAGGTTAAATTGCAACAAAATTAAGAAGTGAGAAGTCTTCTCATGATATATCTAGTTCCATCATCTTATAGCCTGCTCATATGAAGGGAGAACGAGGAAGTAAAATACAGACAGTTGCCATGTTTCTATTGTAAATATAACAAAAGAAACTTCCATGTTCTACGCAGTGTCTAGTTTGACGTCTAGCGTCGGATCCAAAAGTAAAGGAAGTGCTGGTTGTAACGTGTTTTAAGTACATTGACGGCACAGGAAGCCACGAACAATATTGTGATATCTAGTATGAATTGTTGATTGATGTTGATGATGTTTACTTATCTTTTAAGCAAGCTCAGTGTAACATTGATATTAACAGTAATGATTTAAGTAATCATTCTGAATAATAGATCGTCGAAAGTGCTCTTAATGTGTTAGTCTTTGCGTACGTAATTAGCGTGCAATGAAGAAAATTTAATGTCGGTTGCATTAACGAATGCCTATCTTTATGGACAACAGGGTGTGATAGTGGTGTTGTAATTGTGATACAACACTCTATAAAGACAACACCTGCAGTCATTTTGTCGTCAACGTCGACAGTAAGTAACCGTTCAAGTGTTTTAAAGCAGTGACAAGGGTTGCATTGAAAGTCGGCTGAATAAACCTCTTGATTATGTAACAGGGGTCTCTTTATTCAGCTACTTACCACCTTGATGAAACTATTCACCAAAGCCCACTCATTTAAAAAAATATTCATTAACCACTACATGTACCGCCAAAAAAAAAAACAGTTACTCAAGCAACTGGATACAATTTTGGTGCACTACATGTACCTCATAGAAGAAGTCAAACCGAGATCAGTACATATATAGAAAGGTAGATCTACTGACTAGACATTTTACCTTTCTACAGTGTCTGTGTGTTACCTTGGCCCAGTGGCGGCGGCAGGGGGGCGACCGCCCCCCCGAAAAATAAGTCGGGGGGGCGTCGCCCCCCCAAAAATCTTGCTGAAACCCTTTGTATTTTTCCACTAAAATCTGCCGCAAATACAATGTACTAGTAAAGAAATACAGCGCGCGGCACTGTGATGGTAGACGACACTGCCCCTTGTTTTCTTGCGAAATCCTCGGGCCGCGGCCGGCTGTTGTCTCTGTTTGTCCGCTACTGGTCTTTAGCGGAAGAGTCACGGGGACTGTACGATATTTACCGGGGAGGGAGGGCCGGTCGTCTGAGGGGGGGAGGGCCTAGGAAAAAAATTGAGCCGAGGGGAGGGCCTAGAAAAAAATATTTTAATTTGGGGGAGGGCCTAGGTAAAAAAAATTTCCAAGATCCTTTTAACTCTACAACGTTTTTATACACTTTCAAAGCACGTCTGTCCCATCAGTCATTGGAATCGGCAGAACTTTACGTTCCAATATATCAATCCCTATTATTATAATGTATTCGCCCAAATCTCCCAAAGTCCCCTTCAAAATCTAGCTGTTTCGCCAGAATCGGCGAAACTGGACTACACAGCCAAATTACATGGATTAAAATCGCGTCAATCGCGGCAATCGAAACGATACCGATCAAAAATGTAGGGAAGGCTTGTCGGAAGATTTTGAAAATTGATTTTCGCCGTTCAACGCACCCTTCCCAGAGGTGTGCGTGCGTGCGTCGGCAAAGGTCCCGCTGGTCCCGCCTCGCAACTCGCTCGAACTTTTCGGCGTGGATATGTCGGATGTTGACGGATTAATTTGGTATTTTTCTTAAACCAAGGACTATTTTAACATTTATATCTATGTCCCCCCGAAGTTAATTGAAAACAAGACGTAACTTGGCAATATTGTTTCCCTGTTTGTAATAAAATTGACGCGGAAGAAGTTCGTGGACGAAAGGTAGGCTAGATTTATTTCGATTACACTGACTGACCTTAACGTTACTGACTTTAAATTTATATCTCGATGTACCAGCGAAATTTGTGCTGCCAAATTTGCCCCTCAACATGCAAAACATGGGTTGAAATTCAAAAATTTTTCCGGGGGGAACATGCCCCCCCCCCCCCAAAAAGCCGGGACCTACTCGGGCTCTAGTGGCGCCTGT